AGCCACAACACCCAAACACTCATGGAACATTTAACCCTACATCTTATATATATAATAACCACATTTTCACGTTACGAACCAGCTGCGGAACTTTCCCCACTCTTCCCTCTTTTAGGTCCATCCCATAAATTCAGCAGCACAATCGAGTCGCGCACATTTCATATCGACCGGGGCTATATCCGCCCAAATTTGCATCTCACGCGGGCTTAATTACATCAGTTCGCCCAACCATCCACCCATCCCCCTGACTCGCGTCTACATCACTCCGGGATAACCTCATCAAACGCGGATAACATCTCAGTCCTATCCCTAACGCCTATTCACCCCGAACTATTACCCTCCTAGCTTCGGTTAACGCGGGCGACTATCACATTCCATCCTCAACATGAAGATGGTGATCATGATCACTCTCTCTTCACACCGCTAATCTTCACATATCCACAAAAAGCTAGTCAGATATTCGGACGTTACCGCTCGAGCTGTATCACCCACATCAGTACAGCGCGCCGTATCGCTGACTCTTTATCAGTTCGCTACACAGTCTCCTTAATCCACTAACGCTCCCTTCCCAGTCACTCACAAACTCCTGATCTCGGGATTGTTCCGTCGACGACATCTAAGGAAGAAAGCTGTCTCTGTGACTCCTGATCTTCCTACTCCGCAACTGCATCGCATATTTCCCGATATCATACTAGATGCGTTTACCTAAGGCTAACACTTAACCAGCAGCGAACACGTTAATGTGTCCTCGCAGCTCCATAAGTCAATAGGAATTAATTTATATAGTGTTATAATATTGGGCACGAATACTTTATACATCAACTTTCTTGCTTATTTAAGCAGATCCCAAGGTGTCCAAAGGGTTAGATGTTTGTTTGTATTGTATGTCATGTGGTTTTATTAAGCTGTAGCTGCAGATTCCTATCGCAGTCTGCGCTCAGCTGTTAGCAGTGACTGAAACAGGACAATCTGCAGGTAAGGCATGGGCTATGTGTGGAGCGTACACATCGCCTGCTATGACTATTCCAAATCTCTGCAGTGAGTGTTCTACTGTCACTGGATGAGACGTATGCTGATGTGATGCTATTTTCTTTCTCCCTTTGCTTATTGTGCAGAATTAACAGTGACTCCCGCATCTGCCTACAGTGTCCGTAACTTTAACTTCATCCACTCTCTCTCTCTCATACCTATCTGCCAATCAACTATAGTCTTGTTTCCGTCTCCATATATGTAGCAGTGTATTTCGCTTGGTCTGCGTAAAATAGGTTTTGCATTTGCTGTTGTCGCTACACATGCACACAGACACACTGCATAAAATTTTCGTTCGTAAATTTTGTACCTGAAAAGACAAAAAGCCTTTCTTCGCTGCGGCCAAAAAATGCAACAGTCTAATGCTCCATCTCTCCTCTGTTACAGCTCTATAATGAGAGGCTGTGAGAACATGTGCAGTTTCTGCATCGTGCCATTCACCAGAGGAAGAGAGAGAAGTAGACCCACTGACTCCATTCTGCAGGAGGTCAAAATGCTCTCTGATCAGGTTCATAACAAATATGCACACGGCTGCGTATATACTGTATATATTATATATAATGCATGCATGCTCCTTTTCTTCTACACATCCCTTATTCTGAGGAAGTATACAAGTACACAATGATGTGGATAAAGGCAATAGTAGTAGCACGTGGAGGAAACAAGTATACCCACTACTTTTCCAAGCCTAAGAATCTATCTGGAAGTTTACTAGTGGACATCTTACCTCGTAAAAATCATACTACAGGCTTCCTTCGTTCCTGTTCTTACCCCATTTCCATAGTCCACCTCCAATCCTACGTACCTCCCCACTCTCCCCCCTTCCCCCTCCCCTCGGCCCTCAACCCCATATGTTACGTATGAACCAGGGAGTGAAAGAGGTGACTCTCCTGGGTCAGAACGTCAACAGTTACCGTGACCTCTCCCAGACCACCGTCCCCGTCTCTTTTTCCACCGACACTCGCCTCAGCAGAGGATTCTCCACCATCTACAGGACCAGGCAGGGCGGGCGCAGGTTTGCTGACCTTATGGATAAAGTCTCGCTGGTGAGTCTCACTCTATGAGTTACTGTATTTGTATTATAGGACTTTTTTCTAGGAGAAACGTTACAACTTTTATGTAAAAGATAACAATTTTCTATTACAACTTTCACGGCAAACCACAGAAGTTTTTAACAAGAATTAATTTATGGGCTAAAGTGTGAACAATCTCAAATGTATGGGCTGATGCTGGATAACTGTGTCATCTTGTAAGTATACACATACTATACTTTCCGTACTTAGTGATAGATATAATTTGCTTAATTTATTGGCGGATTTTGTGTTACATCTATGACGTAATAGGATTTTGTGTGATAATATTGTGTGTGGTGCTTGTAGGTGGATCCAGAATGATGGATAGATTCACGTCTCCACATCTAAGGCTTCCCAGATAGGTACTACGTACGCAGTGACCTACACTGCACATCATAATGATTCACAACTTATATTACATAAGCTACCATTAGCATGTTTTTATTGTATTCCAGGATTTTGGGCTAATAGTTTGTTTGTTCATGTATAAGGGGGGGGGGGGAGGTGTGGGCAGGGCCCTGCGTAAATCTTTGCGTAAAATTTTGCACGGGTGTTTGGGGGAAGCAAGTAAATTCTTTGCCTATTGAATAGAAATAGTTCTCAGAATATCGTAGAAACGGAAAAAGATTTTCTGCTCCTGACGATACAAGAAGCATATAACTTTTGTAAAATTGTTGAACTCCCTCCTACCAAGCTGCTGTACCTGGTTAGACAGAGAGAGCCTAAAACTGTGCAACACTGGTCCAACATGCACATCTCATAGTGTGAAACACTGATAGTGCTCAGAAAATGGAACGATGGTAAACAATGCCCCAACTACACCAATTATGGATTTCGCTCGCCTATCAGCATTCGGTGGTAGTGTGCGCATTGATGTCAGATAACACCGAGGAGTCTTACTTAGTCATAACTGGTGGACAACATCTGGTCTAACAATCATTCCAGGTAGACAAACAACTTTTCCAAACCTCAACTGATGTCTACGAAATACTAGGTACACGTGTAGTAAAGTATCTATCACACGTACTTCATCCCAATGTCACCAACCGTACTATATACTGTACATTGACTTAACTCACCAGTCACTAAACGAAACTGCTCCATGCAACCTCACCCCACACTCCCAGCATTATCCTCCTCCTGACCAGACAGCGTGTCCCTAGCTCACCCCCCCAAAACACAAAACCCCCCACCCCAAAAAAAAAAAAAAAAAAAAAAAAAAAAAAAAAAAAAAAAAAAAAAAAAAAAAAAAAAAAAAAAAAACAAAAAAAAGGGGAGGAAGAGAAGGGTGAGGGGGGAGAGAAGACGAGAAAGAGGGAAAAACCAACAGAGAGAGAAGGGAACAACCGTCAAGTTTGACCATGCCTACATTTGGCGCATACTCCTGAGGAAGGTGGGCCCCGCCGAGTCTGTGATTTTACCACCTACATCATATCAAAAAAAACTGAAGTACACCAGGAACTAACTCTTTTGCAATTTTGAGTATTATAACACACACAATATAGCACAGAGAGTGGTAAGCAATTTTCATGATTACTGACCCCAACATAATAAAACCATTGGCCGAGCAAACTTTATCACTAACACAAACTTTTTTCACTATTATAAATGCCTATGGTAGAACAGCCTCCACATAGTGACACATAGGTACATTTTGATCAGGACTTTTGGAAAAGGTTATAGCTCTCGCATTCTCATTCCTTATCTCCGTACTTCCTCTTCACATCACGTCCTCATCTCTACTTTCCTCCATGAAAACCCAGATCGCCCATCTCACGACGATGCAGGACGGATGCGCGTGCGGAGGACGGTGAAGAGAGACGACTGAGAGACGACTGCAGGAGCTACATCGCTACGTTCTACTCTCATGTGGTGGATGAGAGGAACAGGCGACTAGTGGCGCTCTCATACATCAGTGCGTCCTCGTGGGGGAGTAAGACCCACTGGGCTATTTTCATACGTGGACCCTCTGATGCGGTGACCACTCCGAGATAGGAAAACAAGATTGGCTCCATAGTGTCCTTGTCCAGTCGGAGTGTCCAATGAGTGTGTGTGTATTCCTGGGTTGTTGCAGAGTATAGTAGGAGATGGATGCAGCCCAGTGCGTCAGCTCTCTTTCTTTGCCAAACGAAAGAGCGGTTTTTTCAAGGGTGTAGATCTGCGTGTTTACCTGCCAATTGCCTTTCTAAAACCCAACCAACCAAACAAACCACAAGCCGTCTACCTCACGCCACCTTCCCTACCTACCTCCTAACCTCTAACCGTCGTTGAACCAAGTTGTAGAGACAACCTGCATGTTGTTGGCATGTGAACAGATGAAACCTCGCTGAAAAAACATTTATGTACGAAAAACAATTATGGCTTGGTGACAGTGCGGTGGTCGCAACGAAAAGAAAATCAACACAAATATCGGGGATTTTGCTCTTTCAAGCGAAATTTTTAGCAGTTTGATGTGGATACGGTCATCTTTTTCTGCTCTATTGCATTCCCGTGTTTTCCTCCTCTCTGCTCTTGAGTACGTCTCTCTCTCATTACTAGCAATCCTCTCAATGTCCGCATCTCTCTCGTCTTTCACCGTGCCCTCCCCTTCCCATCTGTCTGATCTACAGACCAGTAGAGCGGCTGCGAGGAGGACGAGTGGCAGGTGTCGTACGCACGGCAAGAGCGTGACGGTGATATTCCCCTCCCGGCTCAATGACAGAGCCTCTCACACAATCCTCCACTACTTTGTCAGAGCCTGGAGACTATGTCATTGTAAAGGTGCGAGTGTATGGGGTAGTTTGCTTGTAGCCCAGGTTCAGAGGTAGTTACACAGTGGGAGATCCTGTATGCTACTACGTGAACGCCCTGCTCAATGTTGAAGTATGGACATAAAGGGTGTCCTGCAACCCTGATCAATGTGAAGTAGTGGAAATAAAGCATTGTTAGAACCCTCATCAATGTGAAAGTAATGAAATCAATGCTTTGCGAAGAACAGTGCGCACGTCACTATGAGCTGTGCTCTACTCCCTATTAGAAGACCCTGAAAATGTATGGAGATAAGGGTTGCACGTGGTTGCTGGTATATACTACTTAGAACCACTGAGCAATCTGAAGTAAATGTGGCAGGCGCGGGGTAAAGGCGCAGCACGTGGTGGTTAGGTACTACTACTTAGAAACCCGGAAACAGTGTATGGCGAGATAGAAGGAGTGTCCGCACCAGTGGCTGATATGTACTACTTAGACCCCACTGATGCAACATCTGAAAGTTGGGAGATATAGCTCGACGGTGGGGTATGTACTGTACTTAGAACCTGACTCGATCTGAAAGTATGGAGATAGAAGGGTGCACGTATATCTATACTACGTCTCAAGAAGCCCTGATGCAATCGAAAGTTATGAGACTAACGGTGCACGTGGGCGTAATATACTGTACTTAGAGATAACCTGATCAATCTGAAAGTATGGATGATAGAGGATCAATATTGCACACCTCGTTTGGGATTCTGGTGGTAGGTGGAGCAATGGAATAAGGGATGTTGTTGGCTAGAAATGTGAGTGAGAGCCACCTTACTGCTGTCCCTCAGATCACGGAGGCCTCGAGCTGGCTCAGTGCGGCTGCGAGTGTTCCAGTCCGTCTCATGTTCCATACTGACTTTCAGTCGGCAACCAGATCTCGGACTCTGACCAGGCCCACAACCACAAGTCACTCTCCAATTCACTCATAGTTTTTATTCACACATTCTCGTGCAATTCATCTCAGGTATAATGTTTCTTTGATTACTGTTAATGGATTTTTGGTGATGGAAGAATCATCCATCGCATGTGTAACTGTCACTAATACAAAGCCTATGCTCACTCATCTGGGTTGAGAGCATCACATATTTAGTATAAACTATACGGAAGTTATACAACGCGGGTAAATGCGGCAAACACAACTGGAATTGCCGATAACGGTTTGACTCACAACCGATTACATAACATTGGGCATAGTATTCTCACATATTGAACTGTGCAAAGCTTTGATTTGCTGTTGTTTGACTAATAACGACCTGGCAACAGTTGTGAGAAAACAATGACTGATGAATCAATAACCTGGGCGTCAATGGCAATGGTGAACATGCAACACACAAATCTACATGTACAGCCAAATCGATTAACTTTCTTGTAAGCAAAAACTAATGACATCGTACGAGCAGACATAATACTTGTATATATCTGACAAAATATGATCAAAATACAATTGGTGCACAAAAGGTGGTCTAAACGAGCAAAAAAAACCTCGCAACTGTTTGGATCACCCAAATCTTTCTAATCGTCGTCCTCCCACTCGGTGACTCGCATACTCTCTCCTCCTCGCTCGTGTCCTATTCCAATCCATGACCCGTCTTTCTTCGTTCCACGGATGGCGGACACGTCCCATCCCCACGGCATGCTGACCAGTTCTCCTTTCCCCGCTCCTTCTCCTCCACCTGCTTCCTGGATTCCCTTCCCTTATGGCCTCCGGGAGGTCCAATCGACTACTGCTCAGGTCTCCCTCTGCGTCTCCCTATCCCTCCCCTTTTCCAGGATTTGACTGACTCTAAGCCGCTTCTTTGTCCACAGCACGGGCGAGTGGTGATACTGTTCTTCTTCTCTCTCCTCCCGGCTGATGTAGACAAGGAGCGAATACGAGACCGGAGAAACGGTGCGCATGGTGGATGCATGGGGATTGTACCCGTTCATATCACCCGGTGTGAGGAAGGGGTTAATATTTCCTCGGGAGAGGGCCCCCCCCCCACGGCACGTAGACACTAGATGCAGGCGTTCGTCCTTCTTCCTGGATGGCTCTATATGCGGGTAGTTTGAGGGTCAGCTCGTGTTTCTGTGGATGACAGGGATAATAACTATGGAGGAGGATGAGGGTAATTGTGGGGAGCTGGACGTTCATGCGGTAGTGCTAGCACATCCTTCGAGTGAAGAGACGTTCGTAAGGCGTAAATTTCTGTTAGAAACACAGTGCGGCACCAGGCGGGAGTGGTTTTTGAATGATATGAGGGGACCAGTGGGTTTGACCCTGCCATTAGGGTCATCTTGTTGGGTTTTTCGCGACTTGGCCCCTTGATTTGAGGTTAATATATAGGTGACTCTACTGTTACGACCACCACTATCTGTCCGACGTGCGTTCGAATCCTTTTGGGGTACTCCGCCTGGAGTCTGGGGTACCCGTTCGACTCAGAGGTTGGGGTATCCCGGTTGCCTGTGGGGCGGGGGCTTTCGGGCGGATCTTGGACATGGTCGGGCTCTCGTCTCCCTGGGCGTGGGCTGTCGGGGGGTCGCGTTGATGGTCAGTCAAGACTCCCTCCATAAGCTGTCAGAGGCAATTTCGATGCTGCGACCATCTTCTTATGGTAGCGGGTCCACAAACGAGGCGGAGACTGGGCGGGCTGGAGTTTGGACCGGTCATGCTGATACGCCTGCGGAGAACGATTCCTCCAATACCAACAACGGGCGTTGCTAACGAATGGAAAACTGTCGTGGTCCTCGTTTCGAGGAATAAGAAGCTGCAGGTACATCGTATTGATAGGTGTTTGAGCCGAAGATTAACGATCTGGAAGCTCCGTTCCATCGTTCCTCATGGCAACCAGGTGCAGGTCCAGCGACGATACAGGTCTCTGTTTCATCCCGATCGGAGTCCGAAATGTCGTGTTCTCCTTCTTCAGCGGCTCAATCGCAAGACAAGTGTCGAAAGCTGCACTCCCGAGGTCCAGGTGCTCCAAGTGGTGCTTGGAGAGTAGCCCGAAAGGCGAGGACTCTAACTTTGCCAGATCCTCGGCGACCGTGTACATGTGTAGGGTGTCCAGAACGCTGCTTGTAGATACGCCGGGCACCGGCGATTTCGACTTGTTCTTCTGAAACGAATGCGATCTCCGAATAGAGGAGGACTTTTTCTGCGGTCGTGCATGGCCGTACTCGTATCTGGTGCTTGCCTCCAGCGAGGTATCTGGTAGAGGGACTAAGTCGAGGTCTTGCTCCACGTAGAGTGACGCCGTGGTGAAGGCCAAGGAGTAGAGTTTCCGCCGTTTCTTCGTTCTGTGTCTCATTGACTGAGATCTGAGCACCACCTGGTTGTGGTGATGCGAGCGCCAGTGTTGGTGGTTGGAGTGGGTCGAGTGGAAAGAAGGCGAGCTACGTCGGGGAAGCCCCTGTCGTCCACCCGCGTAACTTGGCATGGTCCGATAGCCCGGGTCGGCATTGAGGCTCTGCGTTGAGCCGTAGATTGATTTGTGTGGGTGTGGCTTGCGAGAGAGGCTGAAGGTTCGTTTGACCGGCTGGACAAAGGAGGAGACCTTGTCTGAACCAGTGCTGCCCTCCAGAAACTGCTTTTTCTTTTTCTTGCCACCTTCTCCTCCTTCGTGTTTTGGCTGTTTCGAGAAGAGAGAGAGAGAGAAAGTAAGGAAAGGAGAGGGGGGCGCAAGTGAAGAGAGAGAGAGAGAGAAAGTACAGGAAGGAGAGGGGCACAAGTGAGAGAGAGAGAGAAAGTAAGGAAAGGAGAGGGGGGCACAAGTGAAGAGAGAGAGAGAGAAAGTAAGGAAAGGAGAGGGGGGCACAAAGTGAAGAGAGAGAGAGAGAAAGTAAGGAAAGGAGAGGGGGGCACAAGTGAGAGAGAGAGAGAGAAAGTAAGGAAAGGAAGGGGGCACAAGTGAAGAGAGAGAGAGAGAAAGTAAGGAAAGGAGAGGGGGCACAAGTGAAGAGAGAGAGAGAGAGAAAGTAAGGAAAGGAGAGGGGGGCACAAGTGAAGAGAGAGAGAGAAAGTAAGGAAAGGAGAGGGGGCACAAGTGAAGAGAGAGAGAGAAAGTAAGGAAAGGAGAGGGGGGCACAAGTGAGAGAGAGAGAGAGAGAAGTAAGGAAAGGAGAGGGGGGCACAAGTGAAGAGAGAGAGAGAAAGTAAGGAAAGGAGAGGGGGGGCACAAGTGAATAGAAAGATTGTAGTTACACATTACTATTCCCTAATGCTGCACACAAATGAGTAGCGTTCATGCTTAGTACCACACCTGACGCACAGCATATAGTGCCCCATAATCCTGTTTTATGAACCAAAGAAAAGAAAACCACACACTCAGACATACAGCCACATAAAAACCTGCACCAAACGTAATATATAATTATGTATACAGCCACATAAAAACCTGCATAGACGTGGTTCACACAACTTGCAGTACAGTATCCAGTACACATGGTGGCCGGCCATAGGACTGTTGGCAAGTAAGTACAGACAACACAACTGGCGGTTGAAAGGCTCCCTGGTGCGCACACAAGTGCCTCTCAATCACAACGTATGGAAACACATTGGGCCCAGCATGCAATCCACAATAGCATTCCGATGATGGCACCAATAGAACGAGCCTGTGTTGTGTACCACGTGAATTAGCCACTCCCTGGAGATCTAAGACTCACAAATACATGCACACCATAATTGTAGCAGGATACTTCAGACAGAGAAAAGCTCAGAGCCAACTAAGTATTCAAGCTTTCTCGGCTGAATCTTGTGGGTGGAAAAAATTTTTGGTCACCACATATTAGCAAATTTTTCTCAAGGGAAGAGAATATATTTTTTAACAGAGAGATTAGACTAAGGTATATACAGAAATCTAACACACTGAATCACGAAAGTGTTATCCCTTAAAAAGATCAACCCAAGAGAAGATGGTGGAGGATTTAGACAGTAGACAGACCAACACTTTGTAAAAGAGGTATATACTGTACATGTAGTGTAGCCAGAAAGAGAAATGTCTCCACAGTGTAACATACATTCCCTGGCCATTAGAAGAGACATCAGTGACAAATGCACATGTACGCTATGAGTCCACTTTCTTAGAACTCCTTGTCTTCCCCACAGCTCCTTAATAGCTACATAATTACATGCTGTGGTCCACTCTAACTATGCAGTAGCTGCCCTTTTCAACTGTGGTAGCAAGACACACGTTTTCGTTCCATCCGTCCCCTGTTCTATATACACCTTCAGCACGATGTATTACGGAACAGGAGAGGCTTTCCAGGGGTTGCTTTCCTCTATCACTGCATACCTTAGCCAAATCCAATTACACAGCTTCATACACGCAACATGACAGACACGGGCTTCAAGACAGAATTATGTAACAGATATTCGATATTCCGATATTCGGAAGTAATGCATACCACAGACTTCAACTGGTTGATGATGAGCTATTGTTGAAACTGGACACCAATGAGGTAAAATAAACTGTCCATGTATTTACACAAGAGAGGACTCTCCTATTAAAGAAAAGGTGTCTGTATTAGTGAGGTGTTCTTTTGTTAAGGTCTGCTCTTGGGGAAATAAAAGGTGTCCATATTAGAGAGGAGTCCTCATTTCTGGGGTCTCCTTAGATAGGGGTTCTATACTGTATAAACCTCAATAGGGGGGAGTTTTAAACCCACGAAGGCATACCAACTCAGACACGCAAGAACGGTGTTACATTAGTACACATAATGCCCCGCTGTTGCTCAAATACACTAAGACACATTCAGAGTGCCTACTGTGTGTCGGGCTGAAAACACGCGCAGGACACTGAGCCGTTTGTCTGCCTGACACCTGTACACCGCAGACACTTTCTTTTCGCAGTGTCGGTTTTCATTGTCGGCGTCATTTCAGCTACCCACACCACAGTCTCAGTGCGGGGCTACAGCAACTAGTGAAACGGTCCCGACACCTCCTCTACAATGGACTTGTGAACAGGCTGTATGTATCCAGGCAATGAGGACTAGTGAGAGGACATCCCCGAAATCTAAAGACACTTGTCTATGACGTATATACCTCTTTCAGAACGCTTTTTCTGGCCTATTTGTGTAAGCAAAGTGTCAATACAAGGGTGTCTATTACGTAACCTTTGTGTGGTAAAGTTTGGTGATCTATGTGATAAAGGGAGTCTATTTATGCTCTTTCAGGCTCTATTGCGTGTATGTATGGCCAGCATACTGACTTATAACTACCAAACAACAGATAGAAGGCCAGGGATCCCTACTAATAACAGATAGAAGGCTAACAGATAGAGGGCCATGGGTTGCCAAAGGACTAAGGATTTTGCTATATACTCACACTGAGCATGTCCATCTGAGACATCTTCCTCATTGCCTGTTTCTGGATCTTGTCTCTCCAGTTCTCGAAAAAGAAATCTGGCTTCGAGTAAAAATGCATGGCGTTCCTCCCGTCCTCCCAGTCGATGCTGAACTGGCCGAGGTCGGGGGGAGGCGTGGCCTGTGAGTACTGCTCCGGGGAGACGTGCTTCGTCTGCGAGAGGAGTCGCTGGTCGATTGTCTTGTCGGATTTGAATTGGAGGTCTGGGTGGGGGATCTCGAAGCCTTCTAGAACTGGGGGCAGGGGGGAGGTAGAGGAGAAAATAGAGGAAGAAGCAAAGAGAAATTGAGAGAGATGGGTAAGGAAGGGGGAGAGAATATAGAGGGGGGAATAAGGGCATAGGAATGAAGGGTATGCACATGTAAGACAAGGAAGGAAGTGAGACAAGGAAGAGAAAGGACTGGTGTAGAATCAAAACTGAGGGTAACTGGGAGGTAAGATAGCTGGCTGGCTGTAGAAATGATTTGCTGTACTATCACTCTGCTCTGCTCGTGCATCTTGACAGTATACCCATCGTAGCCACTCTGACGACGTGGAAGGTTATTATGCAGACCATGAGATGAAGTGGAATATAAAGCTCTATCCTTCTAACCTTTCCCCAACATCCAGTAACAGCAAATCCCGCACACACAGACACACGAGGACCGGCAGTGAGATATATACTTGCCTACTTCCAAAGGCAGTGAACAAAAACAGAGAGAGTGTGTATGGCCGCGACTGTTGCTAGCACAAATCACACACAGTCAGCCACAATTAGTATTTTGCCAACCTAGTTCATGGACACGTAGACATCTAAAGACCTCTACACTACACTTGTGTATACAGTGGGCCTTACAGCCAGCCCAGCTGAGTAAATCATAATGTTGCTGATAGTAGAGAAGCTAAGCACCATAGGATTTTAAAATGGAGTTGGTAAGACGGTGGTTAGGGAAATTGATTTGGAGGAGATGCATTGGATGTGGCACAGGATTATCCTGTCCTGAGCATAACAGAAGTTGGTATAAGTGGCTGTTCTAAGGGATATATATGTCTCCAGGGAGAGACAGGTAGTGGGGACTGCTATGCAGGATGGTGGTCTATATTGTTGTGGTTTTGAGTCTATCATGCAGCTGATTCATGACCTGTCCGCCCTTCTATACAGCTAGCTGTAGGAAGTGCAGCTATATACATGAGAGATGCCTATATAGGTGCACAGAAGTGAAACATTTAGAGTGCAATCTTAACCACTTTACTTTCTATCGCCCCAGTTGCTGTGTGTGTTGCTATATGGTATGCTGTAGTTTCCCGATGAATGAACGCAATAATGCCCTGAATTACACTGCTAACACCTCACATTCTTTTCTCCATTCGCTTCAGACGCAGGCATAGACAAAGACATGCCGACAAGGCGACTACACCGATATCCAATAACACGCACTAGGAATACAACAGAAGGCATCTGATCTATAACCAGACTACATCACACACGAGAGGGTCAGTGCTAGCCAAGTCCTGCGACCAAAGAAGGCAGACCTTCCCTTTGTCGCGAGGTGGCAATAAACTACTACAGCAGCGCGAGCCAAACACAACAGACGGTAGTAAACAGAACCGACCATGCTGTGTCTCCTATACGAGACGCGACCCCAGAAGCAAACGCACAGTGTTGGGTTACCTTCGCGGTCGGGGTCAAGGCCGGGGAGGACCTGGACGGTCAGAGCTCGCGTGCGTTTCTCTAGGTCCAAGGGTCCGAGCGTGGCAGCTCGCGAGCGACTCTGCCAGCTCTCCCATGACGCTCTCTGCGTGTCTGGCGAGGGATCCGAGCTGCCGAATCAGCCCCGCCATGGAGCGGACCGCCACTGCCTGCAGAGCGTCTCCGGCCCTCGTCGCTTCCTCCGTCAGAAGAGGGTCCGAGCAGACGCTTCTCGGCTCCACATAACGAGTCGCGATGGGCATCTCTATGGAGTTTTCCGGCGTCTCTATTCGAAGGGTGAGGAGATGTAGGGAAAATGGCAGAGAGACTACGACCGCAGATAGTCCGGGGGTTGGATCTGCGCCCGGCGGCGACTACTACGTCAAACAGCAAGCAGGAAACACGAGCCTCATACAGATGATAGCATGCCGGCGATAAATAGATGATCGATTGAATAGTGATGTACTGGCTCCGCCTAGGCTGCAGTGGCCAGACAGAGCCACTTTCTACAGTTCCTTGTCTTGTCAGTAGACCCGGCGAGCGGCGACTACCACACGGCGTGACGTTCGCTTATAAATTTCCCTACGCGCATGCGCACACGACTATGGAATCGTCGTTTTGTAGCCCCACCCTTTTCCAGTGCCAAACAAACAACGTCAATGGCTCGTCTGTGGCTATAAAAAAAGCGGCGAATTTTTGTTTTCCTTGGATAGTGCAGATGTCTTCCGAGTACAAGACAGTGATACACATCTCGTCGAGGGTCGAGAAGCCTCGCCAACGGACGGGGAGCGACCCGCTGGCGCACAGCGCCGCCACCAGGCTGAGGAGGGACAGCTCTCCGTCGAGCAGCAAGCATGTGAGCTTGTTTGCATGCATGCACAGCTTAGCACTAGCTGTAGTCTGAGGTTTTTTTGTTTATACTGTGTGAGTTCCACCTCAACGCTCACATCTGCAAAAAAGCGTGTGATGGCTGGCTGATGGTTTTTTATTCACACACCTCTACTTCGCATAGGTGTTTGTTCTGCAACCGAATTACATATGCATGGCTCCAGAGAAGGAGAGCAAAGTATGGTGGTATAATAGTATTGATGATGATGATGAAACAAATTGATGCTACAGAAAGAATACCACCCCACAAGACATGCCCACTCCCATTGCCTGGAATTGTATACACAGCTTTAGTATTATAGCAGCCTCCCCCCTTTATGTGATACATTACACCACAGTCTCTCCTCCATACCTCCCTTCCCCTCTCACTTTAGGCCTCAAACAACACATTGCTAGTCACGGTGGATGTTTATACCCAACCGTGGGCCAGCAGTCAAAACTAAAATGATATACTTCAGTGCACTTGCTAGTATTGCTGCGTAGGGCTATTCATTTGTTGACGCTTGGCACGGAGAGCGTGCCTCGCCCACACTAACACGCGTGGCTGTTAATCCTGCAGAGCACGCCCACGGAACACATAGAGATTGGTCAACCATGCCTCAAGTGTGGACACAAGTGCCCTGGATACATGCAGCACATTTGGAGGTAAGCCAGACAGACAACCCCTGAGTTGAAAACATTAGCTGCCTCCTTTCGGCCCACTTTGTTGGACTCATTCCTCTTGCAAATGGATAAAGTTGATTCCTCCAAGCAACGTGTTGAGCTATATTATTATTATAAATCACTAAGCTTTTAGGCTTCATTATTATGCTAAATAAACACGCATACTATACATTAAATGCCTCCGATAATATTATACACTGCCACTGATTTTAGGAAGCAATGCCTCCACTGTGGCTGTGGGCGGAGCTCTCACACCATTGAGACTGAGCTGTCCTCAATCATTCCTCTAATTGGGGGGCTTACTCTCGGGGATGACTCGTCAAAACTCACCAGAGCCGACGTCGATAGACTGAGAAAATATGCCTGGTATCCTCCTGGTCTTGGCCATGGGATGGTGAGTGGTATTATTTCATCCTTTCTCATCTATGGACACAGTGTTCTGTAACTACAGAGCATGCAGCAGCTTTGTTGGCAAAGGTCCTTAATGCGGGCTCTCGTAAAGTGTTAAAGTGTTTACACTAGGTTAATCAATGTTTGCTTGCTTTATTTCTCGCAATATAGCATTAATTATATTCATGAATCCCACCATTCCATCCCTGTATACTTTTGAGTGAGGGTAGGCAAATTGTGCTGATTAAAGTTGCTGTGATAAGAAATCTGTACAATTATATCTACATACCACTGATTCTGCAGGTAGAAAGGTACATGGAGAGTCTGCCCAAGGAGTGTGTCCCAGCTCTTGGCACAGAGGGGGAGAGGTACCGTCGGACCCAGTGCTTCCAGCAGCTGCCAATCTACGACTTCTCGCTCGAGGCTTGCCACAAGATGAGCGAGCGAGAAGCCAAGCGTCACGCAAAGATCACAACGAGGAGGAGAGACGAGGGATTTGGAGTTGGGATCGTTAAACTGCTGAGTAGCGAGCAAAAGAAGGTACAGTTTGCTAGATTTTTTAGAGTGCTTGTGTGTGTGCCAAGAAACTCTATATATTGCTTTCAAACGATAATAGGTTTTCTTTGAAATTGTGTGAAGGTTAAGCACTTGCCTGTTTCAGGTCATACCGTGAACCTAGCGATGTGAGAAGTTGGTCTACATTACGCCCCGCTTTATTTCACGCAGATTTGTACAGAGTGTCTCCTGGGGATCTCTATGGGGTCTGTGTATATCTCCAGTGAGAGAGCGGGCCAGGACAAGCGCTGGCATCCCACCTGCTTCAGGTACGTACATACACACTTCACCTGCAAACACTCCACTGCGCGTACTACAATGTAGTAACTCACCCCTCTAATCAGGACACCAATGGGACTGAAGAAAGTGTTGTATCCTTTATTTATGGGGTTACAAGACCTGTTCTGGGGGAAAGAAAAGGCGTCACTGTGTCACAATTTAGGCGTGTTTTTGCAGGTGCATCTCAATCCATACATATGCTTCACAAAACGAACATTCGGTATTGTAGGCATGGATAAACAAAGTGCAGTGCACAATACACTATATAGCATCCAGATGCTATATACATCATTTCAACTTGTCTCTCACACACACACACAGATGCAACACGTGTCACGAACTCCTGGTGGACCTCATACACTACCATTCACCAAAACACGAGGGAGTCTACTGCGGCCGGCATCATTTGGAGCTCTTGGTCCCTCGCTGTGCCGGCTGTGATGAGGTTAGCTATTAATACCTGTGCTAAGATTTACCTATTACCAGAGTAGCTGCCCTCCATAAAAATTTCCCGTTTTACAGTTCAGCAGCATACATGGTCTGAACCTAGAGCTCATAACATTAATGTTAAGTGGCTGTTTACAGATCATAGCTCCAGGCTTATTCAAGTGTTTCCTTTATCTCATCAACAGATGATTCTTGCCACCCATTTCACCGAAGCGGCCGGGCAGAATTGGCACAAGGAGCACTTTTGCTGTCACGAGTGTGACGACCAGCTCGTGGGAAAGTCTTCCACGACTCACGAGGGAAAGATCCTCTGCAATCGTTGCTTCGGAAAGTACGCCTCGAATTGTCACAGGTGTAAGAAGGCCATTGGTATAGACCAGAAGAAGCTGTCGGTCAAAGGGAAGCATTACCACAGAGAGTGCTTCGTTTGCAAAAGATGCAGGGAAGATCTCGTCGGCGAGCGCTACTTTATCATCGACGACGACATAATCTGTTCGGACTGCACGAAACCAATCGGGCAGTGTCAGGGGTGCAAGGAGGGGATCAGACCGAGTGTTAGCTATCTCAAGCACGGGGACAGATGCTGGCACGCCGACTGCTTCAAATGCAGCGCCTGCCGTGCCTGGCTCGTTGACGGGCAGTTTCACGAAATGGCCAGCAGTGTCATGTGCAACGCATGCTATGTGGAGAAGATGTCCCCCAAGTGCAACACCTGCTCGCAGCCCATCAAAGAGAAAGGGGTGACGTTTTCGCTCAAGTCGTACCACCTGGACTGCTTCGTGTGCACGTCCTGTAAGGAGCCTCTAGTTGGTCAGAACGGGAAGGTGAAGGAGAGCAACGGAGAGCCCTACTGTCAGAGCTGCGTGGACAAGTCCTACAAGAGATGCTACAAGTGTATGGGTGCCGTCACAACTCGACACACTGTGTACAACGGGCATACGTTTCACCTCCAGTGTTTCCAGTGTAGCAAGTGTGGCAGAAGCATCGGTGGAGCAGAGTTTTTCGAGGGAAAAATCGGAGAGATTTTGTGCTCACGGTGTGCTGAGTAGCTAGTGATCCACCGTTTCCTTTTGCTGCAGTCCTTCAGTCCTAAAGTCTATAGTCTATAGGCCTATAATTTATTGTACTATACCTTCCAACAGAAATACATGTGATTTTGATACCGCGCTGTGTTATAGTATATATGTCATCACTTTTTGTGAGATATTATTGTGCAGCTCGCTATATTATACCTTGTCGTCCCCCGTTTGCGGACACATGTCGGCGTAACAGAATCCGCGCGTCGCATACTTGTGTTGTTATGTGCCGAGTTGCCAAATTGCAGGTAAACATGCATGTCTTTTCCGCTATTCTAACGTGTATTGAAAGTAGCGACTCCGACGCCTAGGTCCGGTAAAACTGGGGCGACAGACGGCGGAATGAGTCGTTTCCATCGCTGCGCTTTTATCGGACTGGTATCGCTGTTGGGTGTGATACTACTTACCTTGTTCCTGCTATTCACTGACGTGGGCTTCTCTCCGTCGGGGGCCCGGACGGAGGCCCACTTGGAGAACGGGAACATCTGGGCTGCCAAAAAACTGCGAGTGTCGGCAGAGTTGTCTTACTACTGGATGGGAACACCCAGAGATGCAGAGACATCGACGACGCCCGGTGAGGTCAGTGCACAAGACAAAAGAGTGGGCCACCTTAGCACAGACAGCAGAGTAGTCAGAAATGGTGAAGAACAAGCTGTCAGCAGCAAACACGACAGAGATGACTACTGGATAAATATACTGAGAAATTCAACCGGTGAGGATAGTGTACAAGAGAAAGGAGTAAATCACCCAAGCACAGACAACAGACTAGCAAGAAATGATGATCGGATTGTTACCAGTAGAGAACACGAGAGAGATGAAAATTCACCGAGAGATAAAGAAAACTCAACCAGTGCACAAGAGAAAGGAGTAGGTCACCAGCTAAGTGATATAAGAGTAGCCAGAAATGATGATCAGATTACCAGCAATAAACACGTACATAATCGACCCAAGTTTGATCACTCCTCCAGACAAGCATTATCCTATCTCAAACCTATCCATATCCATAGAGATAGACACAAGCACACATCAGTACCAAACAACTCCACGCTAGTCACTACTGAACTGTCGGCTGTGGATGAAAAAGAAGCAGCTACTGAGGCGGACGACACTGGTGGAGATGATTTCAGCGAAGTTGACAATCTCTATCATGACGTAGAATACACTACAGAAGATGAGACAAATATTCAACTTGCTTTTATGAATGAAGTTGATCAGGAGAAGCCGCCAATTGAAGGAGCTGATGGTGGAAATCACAGTCATGTCTACTCGTCGAGCTACATGAAACCCGTGCTGATAGAGAGAGCTAGCAATGTACAGTTCCATATGCCGTGTCCCAAAGTCTACAAGTCGGTACCTGAATTGGTCATGGCATCTTGGATGAAACCTCTGCTGAGTGTCTTGAGCTCTTTCGAGGGGAAGCAGGTGACACTAGTCATTGCAAACAACGCCTACCGTGACGTGTTACTCAATTGGTTGATATCTGCTAAAATTGTGAGCAAGCCTCCCATTGAGAACATTCTAGTGGTGAGTTTAGATGGTGGCTTATATCGTCTTCTGCAGTCCAGGGACATCCCCTCGATATTGGCTCCGTTTAGCACAGTTTTGAACAAAAAACACCGCTTCAGACGGTTTTTCGAGCTCATCATGATGCTGAGACTGGCATTTATGAGACTCATCAATCGACTCGGCTACGACTGTGCAATGTACGACATTGATGCGATAATTCTGAAGAATCCTCAGCCACTGTATGACAAGTGGGGAGACAGAGATATCGTAGGTTCGAGGGGACAGCTGCCTCGTGAGCTATGGAGGAGATGGGGCGCCACCATCTGTATTGGAGCAGTGTTCATTAGGAGCAACCCAAGAACAGGTATGATATGCAGTGATATTAAAGGAAGCACATAAGCATGCATCAGATACTACCTTTTAAGCTGTATAGCTACATAGAAGTGTAGCTATGTCCTTTTGTTAGCTATACTGTAGGGTTGCTTGCTAAAACATGTATGTAGTGACAGGTGGTACCATACTCTTGGTACACTCTCTGCCGCTTTCTCCACAGAAATATACTGGGAGTCCGTATATGCAGCCAGGTTGAAAGTGGGCCGGATGGCCAACGACCAGATACGACTGAACCACGGCCTGCACCACCTTCACGTCGAATGGGAGCACAACAAAAACACCAATAGAGAGCGACAGCACGACCAGCCGGCACTCGGTCGCTCTGACAGTAGCGGCCTCGGCGTGGCTGTCCTCCCGCTGAGCGACGTATGCAGGTTCGACTGCTGGCCGAGAACCGCGGACGCTACTACATCTGGCACAAGGGCGGGAGTCGGGACAAGAACAGCAAGATGAAGGGAGCCAAGCAGGGCCGGACCTGGTTCCTCAAGGAGCGGTGGAACGAGCTCCATTCCAACATAGTCGTGGACGTCAGAGGAACCAAATGGCTCAAGAGAATTAGTAATGGTGTCTGACTTCTCTTGCTATCACTTATGAATATTGTGCTGGAGCTCGCGCTCTCAGCTGTGATTTGGTGGGTGGGGCTCGTTTTGCTACGAGGGGATTGGATCAGCGACCGCTCGGCGCGCAGAATTAATGGAACGGGCACCGGATGTCATGGCAACGAAACGCGGTGCGCTCTAAATAGAGAAAATGGTGAAGCTGCACGTGAAGCGCGGAGACGAAAGCCAGTTTCTGTACGAGACTACGACGGATACGCGGCTCTCCCAGCTTGTACCACACGTGGTGAGCCTCTACAACGGCCGACTGAAGGTCGATCGCCTCTGCCAAGGTGCGTACGCGATTTCTATGGGGCGGTCGCAGTGTGCGTTAATTAGAATCACCATCGTATCGGCTCCTCCAGAAATTGAGCTGCTGGCTCAACATGGAACGATGCTACCTCCTGATATGATAGGTCTCACAGAGGAACAGGTATAGTAAGAGTCTTAGAAGTATGTATGAATGACTGGTACCGCGCAGGTGAAGGAGTTGAAGTTGTCTGATAAGTGGGCGGAGTCTTGTGTTCCAAGTGGTGGTGCTGTGGTGAACCCTGACCCCGTGGGACGTAGGAATGGCCAGGGTAAGGAGATTGTATGCATTGGGTAGTGTGCATTATGTTCTACAGCACCCAATGACAAGATGAAGGATGTGCTCAAGCGAACTATTAGTGAAGCAAAGTCAGCCATTTCTAAGGTAGTTATATACCAGTAGGTAGTGTATTTTTTCACAGTCACTGATGTGCATTCTCCAGCTATAGACCCAGTTGGAAGTGGGGTATTATGATGATGTAATGGTTGTAGACCCAGGTTGATGCGGGTGTGTGTATGACTGATGACATCATCCACGATGCTCTGGACAAGCTGCGAGGAGCGGTGACCATAGTCTACCCCATGGGTCTTCCTCCCCACGATCCCATCAGAATGGAGTTTGAGGGAACTCAAGATCTCTCTGGGACACAGGTATTCATAACCTCCCCTGTGTGTGTGTGTGTGTGTGTGTGTGGCTTGGTAAGTATAAGATCCCCAAGTTCCCTCAGTAACTACCATCCTCCTGGTCTGCAGGTAGGTCAGCAGGTACTAGAGGAGGACATAGCCCAGCTCTGGTGGGCCGGGAAGCAGCTGGAGCGAAGCAAACTCTACGAGACTACGTCGGACGAAACGAGAAGACAAAGATAGTGGCAAAGCTCCAGAAGAAAGGTCAAGGTGCTCCGGGAAGAGAGCCCGTGTTTTCAGCAGAGGAGCAGCGAGCGATGATGGCCCTGGCTCACAAGAAGCAGGAAGAGATGAAGGTTGGCTGAGTGCGAGGGAGTCCGGCCAACCGTGTTAAGTGGGACAGTCAGGGAAATGAACCAAGGGAACAGGCAATAATATGGTGTGGTACAACTCGATAGTCTCTTGAGGTAATGAGTTTAGCCCTTTACGAGTCAAAAAATTAGCCCGGTAAACCATTTCCTAGTTCGCCCATTTATGGGAAGTAAAATAAGTGAGTTAGTTTCCCGAGCCAAGTTACACATCATCTCACTTAGGTTTATAAAGGACATCAAGACAATTTGCGATTCCACAACCTTCAATACTGAGAGGGAAAAAGTTTACATTTGACTGGCAGATAGATAAATCTCTCTCTGTTGTTGTCATTGCTGCACAGAGACTGGAAGCAGACGAGAGTGAGGACTACCTGAACACAGAGTGGGCTGATCCGACTGGACTCAAGAAGACGTTTACAGGAGCTGGGGACATCTCTTGGAGACCAAAATGATCGATGGGCAGGACAGTAACATCACAGCAAGGGAATTGAAATTCGACCTAGTCAATCCCGTCCATTTTCCCACCCTTCTTTCTTGCCTCCCTCTCCTTACTTTCTTAGATGACTGCTGACTACACACCCACACCCCACACACACACCAAAATAAAGGCAACACTCACTTATTTGTGCTATATACATTAACAAAACAATGAAAGCTCTTTATCTCCAATAAAGGTAACACTCGCTTTATTTGTTTTAATTGGCGACCACAAGGCGTAGTCATCTGAATGCTGATATTCCATACATATATATACATACAATTGTATGTTACGGGCACTGCATGTACCGTAATGTTATTGTAAATATGCGTGAAAATTGAACTGCTCGCAAACGCATGGCATTTGTTCTAATATGTGCAAAAAGCCTTCAATAAACATAGTGCATTTATCACTCTTGCCAAACATACATACAGAGAAATGGTTTATCAATATTATTTTGGTGTGAAATAACCGATATTCCGATAATGAAATCATTTGTGAAAAAGTTACAGTAAAGAAAAGGTAAATAGGAGATGATATAAATATATCATACTTTGCAATGTGTTCTTGCTGTACAAATAGACACTTCACGTTAACGAGGGGGTGTGGTCGGTCTGTCAGTCAGTAGCGGTGGGGATGGTGGTGAAACGTGGCGGACTGGTTACCAGTGGTAAAGGTAGGGGCGTGGGGTCTGTGGTCCATGCTGGACGTGGTGTGGGCCGCCAGCGATGGGATATGGTGACTCGTTGACTGAGGGTTAAGAGGTCCACTTATAATCCCTCTTATGACCACGATGCAATAGTGCATGGTATTGCTAGTACATGACTATACGTGTCCCCCTATCTGCACGTATTCTTACCCTATCTGTACATGTGTGGCCCAGTACAAAAGACTGCCAGCAGTTACACGGGGCAGAGGTGGGTTTTTTTTCCAAAAAGAAAGATCACACAGTGTGCTCTGTCCAGCTCTCACGAGAAATGTGCTGGGTCACCTAATGTCCTAAGCGCTACACATGCCACAACAAAGTCAGGCTCATACTAAATTACCATAATAAACGGTTGTGTCGTGAAGTACAGCATGGACACTGGCCAACTGTGCTTGTGAACTTAGTCATGCTTTCCTTTACAAGCGATTTGCGATTGCGAAAGTTAGTTACACAGTATGTGTGGAAGTCTGTGGAAGTCGGTAAGAGACCCGCCTGCCATGCAGTGACTCACTTGTCTTGAGGCCTGTGTGTCAGAGGTGGTGGCATGAGACGTGGTGTTAGTGTTGGTAGTACTCAGTCGCATCCTCTTGGACTGGGTCGCTCCCGATGCATGCTCCATCCCTCTCTGGGGAAATAGAGTATAATTATAGTTGTTACCTTACAGCGGAACCTCCCAGCAAAGGACACTATGGGGCCAACAGTTGTCCCTTCGGAGCTCTATTAGCAATGAAGCAAGTGTCCTTTGTACAGAGGTCGTCCCTGTATCTCAGAGGTTCCAGGTATTACGGTTTTACCACCAATGGAAAAACTCTTGGGCCAAAGGCATATTTAGGGACAACTTACACTAAGACACGATGCACACGCAACTGGCCAGAATCAGGCAGGAAAAATGGCCAGAGTCAGGCAATACTAACACCACTTGCACCACATGCATATACAGTGGCAGGCTAAAACATTACGTTTTCCGCACTGCATATGTCAGGCCAAAGTGATTATAAACACACTGGGTTGTTACAAGCTTTTACAGAGAGTGCATTAAATTTCATAGAGCGTAGAGAAAGACTAGTATATCATATTCTTGAGCATCTGGCTGATGACATAATCATACATAATACCTTGTGGTCCTTATCGTCCTTATTGTCGTCGTCAGAGAGGAATTTCCTTGGAGGATAGGGTATCTTCATGCCATCAAACACACTGGGGGGAGAGAAAAAGCAGTGAAGTGCAAACTCTCAACGGAAAAGAGGCTCACAGACGCCATATGATGCCACAGTCTACAACGGTATGGAAAAAAAATTGTTACTCACTCTTGGCAAGGTTTGGGATCCTCACTGAAGTAAGGATCCTGCATGGCCTGCTCCGACGTGATTCTCTTGTTGGGATCCATCACCAGAAACCGACACAGCTACAAGAACGATTATATGAACTCTGTGGGTGTTTATTGTTTGTGTGTATATCATAACCAATGGCAACTTACTATGTATTATATAGCTATATATGTAGGAAACACTTTGCCACATAGGGTACAGCAATACATTATGCCTTCTGTACATTTATACACTTTTGACACGTAAAGTGAGCAGGCATAACATAAAGCAAGATGGATAAAACAGTGAAGAGGAAAGGGGGAGAGGAGAGATCCACGTGTGTATCGTACCAGTTGAAAGGCAGAGGTGTCTGACTTGACGTTGTGTTTCTCCATATACCTTTGTAGGGTACACCCCTGGTAACTAGAGGAAGGAGGTGGGAGGGAAATGAATATTAACAAATACCGGTGCTCTAGATGGTCGATTCGTACTTGTGTCTCATTCGACTGAAATCCCTGACGAGCGAGCCGTGTTCAGGCATCTTCCGAATGTCCTCCCAGTCTTTCTCTGCACCACCAACGCCACAGTAAAGAGGGGAAAAAAATTTTACGTGAAAAATTTCCTCGTGAAATTGTGCAGATTGGACGACAGGAATATGTGAAATACTTTGCTACCGTGCTGTACATTTAGAGCTCACTTAACAGTGTACATAAGAATTATTACACCTGGCGACATAAATGAGAATTTTATTTCTTTCCCTTTTGGCCCGGTAACATGTACATATAGCATGCTATGAAGTTCCAATATGGAGCTTCTGTGTTAGTTGCACGGTCAAGGATTAAGAACTATGGCCAAGTGAGCTATGTGTGTTAGTTACCGTGAGGGTAGCCCATGACACCAAAGATGCGATCCAATTGGTCGTGATGATAGGGGGTACTCGCCTCCATGTCCTCCTGACGACAGTGGAAGATGGGTTCAAAGGTCAGAAGCTCGGCAAAGATGCAACCGATCGCCCAAATATCTGAAGAGACAGCAAGCAACACCACTAGCCTTCTTATATACAATCATACATGTAGCCTGGTAGCCTTTATAAACTCATGATGCCAGAGAGAGAAGTTGGGATATGCTCTGCTGATGAGGGCCAACAAGCCAGAAACAGCTGTCTAGAGCTCCTGCATCTTTTTCTCTTTGCATCACATGGTCTAATACCTTCATGTAGACACTGTTGGCCTAATCCCATTCCCTATTTCACTAGGCAATACAACCTTCTGATACAGTAGTTTTTAAGGGACAAAACCTGCAGTCTCTATATAGATAGCAAGCTGGCATAAGAACACAACATAAAACTATTCCCAAAAAACACTATAGCCAACCAGATACTCGCATAAAGAGAGCCAACTCCCCAACAAGAATAAAGGTGGTCCAGTTTGCACCCGCAGGGGAATGGGGTGCAGTGTGTATAAACATCATATTATATACCAATAGCCTTGGTGTAATGCTTGGCTCCAAGGAGAAGCTCTGGGGCCCGGTACCAGAATGTGACCACCACGGGGTCCAACTCTGCCAGTGGCTTGAGTGGGGCATTGAACAGCCGGGCAAACCCCATATCAGCTGGAGAGAGGGGGAGGGAGAGAGAGAGGAGAGGAAGGAGAAATGGAGATGATCATAACTGAAACGGATACTGCAAAAGATGTTTGTCGGCATTACCAATCTTGATTCTGCCTCTCTCTGCGCCTTCACCCATCACCAGGATGTTGGCTGGTTTCTAGAGTGTAAGTATATATATATATACAACAAAGTGTCCAACACTACCCACTCAGCCTTATAGACCAATGATATATAAAACAAGTATATACACACAAAGTTCCTGACCAGATCTCTGTGAAGGACCCAGTTGGCGTGGAGATAGTGGATCCCGTCCAGGATCTGATAGAGCAGGGACTTGACCATGCTCTTTGGCACCTGGACCTGCGGCTTCTTGCCTCCCTTTATGGCTCTGTGGAACTTTATGATGTGCTGGGGAAGCGGGAGGGTATGGAGGGAGAGAGGAGAGGGGGGTGGGGAAGAGAAAGGGAGGGGAAGAAGAGGATAAAAAGGGAAATAGCAGAGAGAGGGAGAGAGGGGGGGAAATGGAGAGTAAAGAGAGGGAGGGGAGGAGATGGGGAATGGAGAGAAAGCAGAGGGAGGGGAGAGGTCAACTACACTTCAGTATTCGTATGTTCTTCAAAGACTTTATGAAAGGTAGACTAATTGGGTGCCTACCTGCACAGACTGAGGAACCCTCACACCACTCTCAAGAAAGAACTCAATGACACAGCATACGATACATTACCCTCAATTAGACCTAGTCAATGTACCCAACTGAGCAGTTACGCACAGTTCACTATCAACAATGTGCAACACAGTGGCAATCCCTTGAAGGGGGAACAGCTATATAATATGTAGGTAGAAACTATTGCGGTGAAAACGTCAGTTTCATAAGTACAATTCAAGGAAGGTGAGCCTACATGTTTCTCACGAGTTACGGTACACCACAAACCCAGCGTACAAGTTCCACATGACTTATTTCCTATGTATGTATGTAGCCTAAACTTGACGTATGTATAATTATACAACTACAGGGGGCCAGCCCAGCTCTTACGTACATACTACAATAAAAAGAGAGAAACTTTCGAGAGAGAAGATAAATGGTTATTATACCATCATTACGGGTTGCCCATCCCTCAATACAAATGCAAACGCCAACAAAACTTCACTGTGAGAAAGTTCACAAACTGGTGAATTTTCCCTCAAAACCTCTCCGCTAAACGGTGGTTACTGTGGCTACAACTCACCCACAAGTCGTGCTCTGCGTAGTCAAAGAGGAGCCAGACTTTCCTGTCAGAGTGGGAGAGATAGACTTTTTGCAGCGTGATGACGTTTGGATGCTTCAACTCTCTCAGCAGCTGTAGAGACAGCCAGAAAACATATGCACCCAACCCTACCGCATGTTGGCAGGATTACTCACTGGCAAATACTATTTACTATCCAGTAATGCTGTTACAGCTTTAATTGTATGGGGAAGTATACAGGATGCAATGGGATATATTATATGGGAGAGTAAAGCTAAGGCACATGATTAGTGGTGCGTGCACAGTTGCCCAGGTATGTGGGCCGCAAAACTGGTATGACCAGACTATTTGGTTGATGAATATCCAAAAAGAACTAACCGCTATTTCGCGACATGCGGACATCGATATCCCGGTCCCCTCGATCAACTTCAAGGCGTACTCCTTTGGGTCGTCTCTGCAAAAAGAGACGCGAGCGAATGCAGACCCAAATCAAAACAACACGGTCTTACCCCGCGCGTCGTTTGGCGCGGTAGACGTGTCCGTAGGTCCCTCGCCCGATCTTCATGCCCTCAAAGTCGAACAGCTCGTCCACCTTTTGCCGCTTCTTGGCCAGTTTATCCGTAAAATCAGAGTCCATCTTTTCACCAGCTGAGACAAAATAAAGAGAGCTCTCGATTTTTTCGTGTTTGATATTACACAAACTGTTAATTAGAGACAACCGGTGTTCGATATTACTCTCGCTTAATTAGAGAGCGAGTTCGCGTAACCCATGGCAACGTTTACCCGGGACCGAAAAGCATCACTGCCGGGAAAGCGGGTCCAGATTCCCGCAGAGCAAGGAAGCGTATATAGAGATGGCGGCCACCCTGGGAAGCCTGGTGTCCGAGACGAAGCGGAACAGGCTATCTCTGATTGGGTCGCTGACGGAGGACGCGGTGCTCCACGTATGGGACAAGGTGGCTCAGTTCGTGGAGACGCATATGCTTCAGCAAAAAGTAACTGCAGTTTAGTTTCATGTGTTACAGGAAAAACAGTTCTGGTAGCTAAAGGATCTTGTTTTCAGCTCTCTAGCTTATGTGTAGTGGAAAATCATATCTATCCTCATGCGAGCTGTAAATTTCTCTACAGGGAGTTAGTATCGGTGGTCTGGGGACATTCACATTCTCCAAGAGAAAGCTCGAGGTTGGTAATAACAGGGCCATCCTCATCCAACGACCCGTGTTTGTGCTGTCCGAGAGGTTCAAACAGACACACTCCCTCCACTGTGTCAAGAAACATGCTTCAGGTTGGACAGTTCGTATATAGACTGCACCGAAAAATGTTCAAGTAAACATCAGGTTTACAGAAATGAACATTCTGCAAGTTTTTCACTCGCAATATACTGCAAAAGTGTTAACTACTCTGCGTAAGGATCCACTTCTCCGCTGTTTTTAGCTATGTGAAGTGTGGCCCTCAATTAATGTCTGCGTGTTGTTGTCATTCAAAAATCGCCAATTTTTTTGTTTGACGAGTCCAAATTAAGTCTGTGATTATACGTGTATATAAGCAAGTATTGTATGCTGTGGCAAATGAATGTTACCAGTGAATCTCACGTATCATTTGAAATACCACCTGATAACCTGTAGGGCAAGTTCCTCTGCACCCTCTCAACTACACCCAGCTGTCCAACATGACGGGGGTGAGGAGGGAGATGGTGGAGGGAGCGGTGAGAGAGGTACTGCAGGCTCTGTCACGGGCCGTCGCCGCAAAGAAGAGCATCGAATTTGACCTCAAAGATATTGGGAGGTCAGTTCAAACAACAGAGCACTCGTAGAAGCTCTCCGTTTGTAGTTGTAAGTTCATCGTCTTGGGTTAAGTATGTACTTGTTCAAAACAGGTATATAAAGTTGGTCCCAATGCAAATTGTACTTCTATGGAGGGAAGGTGGTAGTGTGCTAAGCTGTGCGATGCTCCTAATGATGTTGTATATAGGCTCACCATTCACGATGGGAAGGCAAAGCTGAGTTTCTTCCGAGAGTTCATTTACCGACTGGACGGCTGCTGTGACATGGAGGGAGCATTCAGGAGCTCCAGTACTGACAGCAGCATCTGCTCCATCATCAGCAACCCCCAGCCCTCCTCCAGATCCTCTTCCTCCCTCTCCCTGCCCCGGATTGTCCAACCTGTCGTTGTACGTATGTTGTAGGTTAGCGGTAGAGCTGTCAGTTGTGGGCATAGGGTTGATCCCTTTCTCGCCTAACTGAGTGTATACATGTACGTAAATAGCGGGGGAAATTTTGTTGTCAACTTTCATGGTTTGGAAACCTTGGCCTTGTAAAGTTACATGGGTCTCCCAATTTTCCACATTTGTTCCTTGTGTGGATTGCACTGCACTCTCCAGCTATAGTCCAGGTATTTAGGATTATTGTTTGGTCTGGCGCTTCCCCCATATACGCGTTAAAAATACGAAAGATTTAGGGCCCCATATTTGCACAGTAAGTAGTAAGGGACAGCTAATTCATGTGCTACTCATTCACAAGAATTCTGGTGCTTGGAACACTACAAGTATATACTTATTTAACCATTATATTGCTTGATGCTGAGTGCCACAGCACAGTTGTTTGAGGTTTGCCTTGGTCTTGAGTTGTATTGTGTTATAGATTTGAATCCATCCAGCTGAGTTCAGCTGGTAGAGCGCTGGCTTGGGGTGCAGAATGTCCTGGGTTCGAATCCCACCTAGACAGCTCTTTTTCTTGTCCTACTAGGTGTATGTGTGTGTTGTTTGCATTGACCTTATTGATGAAACATGCAACTGTCCCTGCTGCAGGGCGAAGAAGACGGGGAGATGAGCCTGAGTCTTGAGTATAGCAGAGGCAGTTCTGGTGAAAATTCCCCCTCCATTGGTCACAGCCCCTCCACTTACGAGGAGACGCGACTCAGTCGGCAAATGGACAGAGGGGCCCTGAGAATGGCGACGATCTGCGAGGAAGACGAACACGGCGAAAAAGAAGAGGCAAACGCATGCCAAGATGGTGTCTGTATAGTTGGCGAAAATGGCAAAATCTTGAGTAAAGGTCAACGAGCTGAACCGCCACCGTCTGACAAAAAGCCTACCAAAAGCACATCCTCTGGGAAGCTGTCTCAACCGACGCTGACTCCCAAACCGACAATGCTGCTCGTGGGCAGCAGAGAATCTCCAACAGCTGTCCTGGCGTCTCTGAGCCACCAGCCCAGCCGGGGGAGCCTGTCGACCTCGTCTCAACAGACTGGAGTAGCAGTGAGGGACGGGGAGTTTCAGAGCAGGAGCTACACCAGGACCACCACCAGTAGTTCCAGTGGTGGTGGGGGAAGGAGTAGCAGACGAACCTCCACCTCCTGTACCAGCAGATCCTGCTATTGCTCATGTACGTGGGCTACATGTGTGAACACATGCTTACAATACTCAACTTTATTGTTTGGCCTATGCATTCTGTGTTCATGGTAATAGACCCACAACAAAGTGTTCCTCTATCATAAACTAATGCACAGATATAGTACGTTTGCTTGCTGGTCTGTATTATTCAGTGGGACCAACACCGGCAGTGACTCGACCCTCAACCTGCTCCCACAAGAGCTCGGCTGGCCAGGAGCTGTGCTATCTCTGCCACCAGAGAGCTCTGCTGAACATACCTGTCAACCTATCCAAGGAGAGAGCTGCCAAAGAAAAGTTAGCCGCAGTATCTGTCTGTATGGTATTGTGTGTGTATCTACTAGATTAAGGCCTGCGCCCCTTAGTTTATTACACTGTGTTTCCCGCTTCCTTTCTCCCTACCTCCCCTTTTCTTCTTTTCTTCCCTATTCTCAACTTTCTCCCCCGCTCCTCTTTTCCTTCTCACCTCCCGTCCCTCCCTCCCTGTCTTCAGAACGTACAATGATACTCTGCACGAGTACCAGCGTCGTCATGAGCTGTTGGCTATGGCGAGAGCACAGGCAGACAGGACAAAGAGAAGACTACAAGACCAGGAGATGGCCTCTTTCAACCAGTCCATTGCCACCACAATCAAGGTCTGACACCATACTGACAATGCTACTGTAGCGTCATGTATACATAGGCACATTACTATAGATTGTGCTCTACTTTACTCTATTTTGAAATGTACACTTGGTATGGTCTTTATTCTGTAGAGTCAGAAAGAAGCGAAATCTTCGGAAATGGATGTAAGGAAACTGTTGTGCACAAACAAACACGAAACCTATTATTCTCACTCACTGTAATCTTTCCCTGGCTGTCCACTACATGCCAACATCTTTTGTATGCACACAGTGTGCACAATACAGAACCACTACTGCGTTCGTTGAGATTTGCATTTGTCTTGTGTTGCATTCTAGTTGTAGAAATGTAACCCTACCTGCTGAGTTGCCCTGGTAGCTCAACTGGTAGAGCGCTCGCCTAGAATGCCTAGACTGCAGAGTGTCGTGGATTCGAATCCCACCCAGGGCAGCTGTTTTTCCTTGGAAAAAAAGAGTTGCTTCAGGTTATGCTTTGCCTTGACCTCGTTATGACACATGGCAATGTCTTCTGTACAGTGTGGATGTGTATGTTTTTCCTCTCTCTTCCTCTCGCGGTAGCCGTCGTACATATTCAGCGACCGTCTGGTGACGCCAGCTCCACAGGCCAGTCAGCAGCGCTACTGCAGAGACCTGGACTCTCAGGTGGAGAGTAAACTATCTCGCCAGACGAGGGAGAGAGAGGAGGCAGAGAGGAGTGGGAGAGAGGAACAGGAGAGACTGACTAAAGAGTACGTATGCGTACATACATCTTCGCGAAAGTGAACTAATGACACAGGGTTAGAAAGAGTGGGTTGGAACAACAAGGTTCTATTGTGCATCCTCAAGTATAAGCTGTTGGCAAACGCTGGGCCCTAACATTATGTACATGTAGAATTTGCATGTGTCTGGTTATGTATGTTAGGAACCCCATGGGAAATAAAAATTATGTGATCATTCTGTGTAGACTGGCTGCCTATGAGGAGTTGTACAAGAGAATGAAGGTACAGGCGGTGGATGACTACAAGGGAGCTCTCAACAAACAGGTGTGGACCGACCACGCTCACTATATAGCAGAACCAGTGGTATCATACTTTCAAGTTTAGTGTATTACCGTTGAAACTTCCCAATCACTTACAAAGGAATCAAGATGTTTGAAGCGGGAATGTTTACACATGAAAGCAATGCATGTGTGTGATTATTATGTGTGTATGATGTAGGTTGGTCTCAAGTTAGCCAGGAATGGTTGTGAGGCTCGACTGGCTGGCCAGGAACTGGAGGGTCGTCAGCCGGCACTCCCTCAGTCCTCCTCCGCTCTCAAGGTCAACACACTGCGCCCCTTCACTCCTCCTCCCCACACTGATCCCAACAACACTCACAGTAGTAAAATGGTACAATACTATATACCACTCCTATTGTACATAGCTACACAGATACATGGTGGTTCATCAAGTTTGACATAACGTTGGCAGCTAGAGAGCCTAGCCTAGCCTGTAACATACAGATGTACATGTTGTACATTTATCACGCAACATCATCCTATTCCTATAGTATAAACATGCATAGTTTTTGCCCATCACAATACAGAGGCCAATGACCGAAGGCGGCTCCAAAGAGGCCCCACCCACCGACCACGCCCCCAAGACACACCCCCCGGTGTTTGGGGTCCAGCAGACGGCGTCTCTCCTGGAGTCCAGGGAGAGAGGCAGAGCCAAGGAGTTCTTCCTGGACCAGCTGGCCGTGGTGGAGGAGAAACAGAGGAGGACGAGGGAGAAGGTTCTCAGGACACTGCAGCAGGAGTCCGACATGCTCAAGACTACCAAGAAGGGTATGTACGTGTAAGAGTTGACCCACAGCTTCACAATAGGAATTCTGTGGGGTATTCGGAAATTGACAGAAATATTTTGATGTGGCTCCTCAAAAAGGAGCCACTTTCTTATAAACTTAAATATATCCCATGACTTGTCCAACAATGGACTCGTGGAGAAATACATACGTTTATGCAATGCAGCACGGTTAGTCATTACAGTGTAGTGTGTATCATCAGCCTCCTATTATGTAAGAACTGTTAGTGAGCGTCCCCCCCCATATACCTGTCAATCATCAACGCCAACAGACTAAAGGAGGACATGAGGAGAGAGAAGAGTCGTCGAGTGGAGGCGAGGCAGGCGCTGGAAGAGGAGTGGCTGGCCAGCATGAGGGACAAACAGAAGAGACTGCTGGAGGACCTCCATAAAACCAGGGAGCAAGGCGTCAGACTTCACCAGCAGTGCGAGCGATACCACAGGTCAGCTGATGGTGTCCTCAGTGGGAGAAGTATGCGCTCACTTATAAGAAAAACAGCTTATTGTGTTAGTTCTTTCACTGACTCGTAACAAACGTATTGAATAAGAAAGAGCTCCAATGGAGTGTTTTGCAGTAAGACTACTACCGGTGATGTCCTATGTAAAAATTGAACCGTATTTTAGTTTTTGTTTTTTGTTGTGAACACTGTTGTTGCCGCAGGTGCAAGCAATGTCAGCGGAAGAGAGAGAACATGGGCAAGTCAAACATTCTCCACGAGACTCGCTATATCTCTGGATCCAGGCTGATGGTCTGAGCGACGGACATGCTACTGTGGCGGGTTTCTCTTCTGTGTGGACATTAGCTGTTTGCTGTGTCACTTTGCTTGTGTGGTTCACAGATATTTTTAAAAATATTGAGACAATAGATATTCAACTCACTGCAATAATGCATGTCTTTAGGGAAACGCCAATGAAAAGGCATGGCTACACCCCAACGATGCTTTATCCAGTTAACAAAAAATACAAGATTAGACTTCACGAACTTTTATATAAAGTCAAACAGACTCTGTGAGTCTAGATCTGTATACGTACATATCCCCCAATAAGACTGTGCGTAAATGCAAACCAATCATGCAGTGAGTTCACAACAAACACATGGTTGCCTGTATTATAGTACATGTGTGTGTGTGTGTGGTGAGTGTTGGTTGCATGTCATGTGAGATGTGAGGTGTGTGTGTGTGGTGTACTGAAGGTCTCTCTCTATTCTGGCAACAAGTCATCTCCCAGTTCAACTCCTTCAAACTCGTCCTCCTCGGCCGGTCTGGCTCTGGCTGCGGTCATAGGTCGCTGTGGAATTTCTCCCAGGGGGTCTGTGTAGGAGGCATCTGTACGTGTGTGTGTGTGTGCAGAAAGATAGGTGTTCTCCACCGCATGTTCATTATGCAGCTACGTATGTATGTGCAGTAATATCGGGCCAGTGGCGGCAAAAAGATGACGTATCATGGCCTACGTTGTATCCCAAACAGAATGCTATTTCAAATGCCTGGAGTTTAAATTTTTTCTTGCGACTATCGTTATTTAGACTACGTCTTTGTGTCTCTTTTATCCTGTACAGACACGCAAAACCTGTTCTGATTTTTAATAGACGCTAGAGTTTCATGCAACGGTCAATGATAGGTCATGCAACATGTCACATACAAAATGCCTTCTTGCAATTTTGTCTTGTCTTCTTGCAACTCTGGCCTAAGTTACGTACGTATAGGACTTCATCTGCACAACAAAGTGTGGCGTATCAGGCATTAATACACTTACCTACTGCTCTGAGCGGTCTTCTATTACCTCCTGAATCAACTCTGGATTCATCTACAGAACACACAGAGTTTGGTGTGTAATCAAGTGTGTTAACTGTCTTAGAAAGTGACACATGGACTGAGTAAATTTCATTCGCCGACGAAGATGAGCTACTAAAAAACAGCAGTTGTAATGTGTTAAAAACAGTACCCGTGTCTCCACTGAGAAGAGAGTGTCCTTGTGTTTGGTTGCGACCTCCCTTCCCTCCTCCTCCTCCCCCTCCTCCTCTGCCTGTCCCCCTCGACCCTGCACTGCCACCACTTCTGTAGCTACTACTGGACAGCTCCCTCTAAACACGGCATAAAACTTGTACTCAATGATAAAATCAACTGACATACTAAGCCTGCTATAAGCACACGGAAACTAATCCGGCTTTCCTCCAGTGACAGGCAAATTTACTCATATTCAGCTCAGTGACAGGCAAATTTACTAGTGGTAAAAATGTTTGTTTCTCAAATCAAGACATGAGAACTAGTGTCACAAGACATGTAATTTCCCCTTCTTACTAATACATCATGCAGCAGCGCATATGGACCTGTCTCTTGTTCTCAGATGCCTTCTCAGCCTTCTTGAGCAGGAGGGCGTAGTCCTGGGCCTCCTTCAGCCCCAGGTCTGAGGTGAGTCTCACCAGGAACCGGAGACAGTCCACGTTCTCCGGGAACCTCTGGTGAATGGACTTGTAGTGCTGGAGAGCCTGCTGGTAGCTCCCTGCATGGGTACGTAGGGGATGGAGGTTTCGTGACAAACAGATACTCTTGCTAGGGTTGAACTGGCTCATCAGAAACTTACGGACGATATTCAATGACACGCAGCTCCTAAGGTGGTCTTAAAGTATCAGACCTCTTTAAAATATTGAAAATGGGAGCCATGGGTAAAGGATACTTGATATTTTTGGTGCCAGCCTATTATATATAGCCCTATCTGAAACCTACATAATAATCCAGCGCTAGGGGTAAAAGGTTGTTGGAGCCAACTTGAGATTTAGCAGTCTCTGAAAAGCTTCACGAGTTGCGCAGATATCTTTCTAATGAACGTGCGCATGCAGTGGCCCACCAGTCTTGCGGTAGCAGCTTGCAACCATCAACTGCCAGTTGATCTGAGTAGGTCTGTGGAAAATACATCGGCCATGACAGAGATTATAGGGGCATTATGCTGGGTTTGTCTCCTAGACCTACACTAGGTACTAGCGATTTTTATCAACTTTCACCACCATATATAGCACATGGACAAAATATCAGAACGTTCGGCCTCGCAGGCCTTCCTCAGCTGATAATTGAGCACTAAAGTGCAAACCCTCGGCACACTGTGGAACCCATACACAAGTGTGGCACCACCACAATTGATGGTCTTGACCATGCATAAAAAAGAACAGCATGTTATGCACTATTTCCATGAAAAAATGGCCAGCCCCATTTCTGTTTGAGGCCCAAAAATATATAAGGTAGAAAAATTGCCAACCTTTCATCTCTCTATTAATTTTCGTATTACCTGTGGATTGTTTAGTGCAAAAAAAAACCTAAGGGTGAAAAATTTTTTTCTAATGCGAGAGTCGATACACGCCATTCCTCTAGCTAGCTAGCTGGGAGCACATCAAGAGATCGGAAGTGACAGAAGGCAAGATCTGGTCGCTCGCTACAGGACCTACTGTATGAGTGCTGCTCTCTCAAAGTATTGGATGGCCTTGTCGGGGAACTGAGAGTCCATGTGGTAGGCTCCAAGCCACGAGATGACATCAATATTAGTTGGCGAGTATCTGAATGACTGAACACAGAGATGAGGATAGAAAAATCACAAATTAAGGCAAAAGGCACGCATGTTGACCCTTGTCGGCTTTCGTAGAAAGACAAGGAAAAAGTGAAATTGTAAGGAAAATAACACAGGAAAGGGGAAATGGAGGGGAAAAAAAGAGGAGAATTTTTCAACCCTGTCCTCACCTCATAGTGGTACTGGTAGGCCTGTCCCCTATCTCCCTCCTGGTCATACATCTCACCCGACTCTCTGTAGCACGTGAGGGTCTGTCGGGACCAGTGAAATCAGCTGGAGGAACCTGCATTACACGGTGGATCACAAATCAGAACTTATCATAATTTTTAATACATTTGTTCTGTCTACATAATGCACTTTAGACTAGCTCTAGAGCAAAGTGGGCATTTCAATATTTTGCACGTGATTTAGATTCACGTACAACATTATTACATTACATGCAGTGTCCGCTGTACATCACACAAATAAAGGAAAGCTCTGTATCCAGTGTGTCCTTTTAGCAGAGGTTCCACTGTACATGTATGTATGTATGTATGTATTGGTCTGGGCTAAGGGAAAGCTCACCAGTCGATGCTCTGTGGAGTGTCTCCCATCTTATCAGAGAGGTCGGCCAGGTGGTAGATGACTTGAGAGGAGCTCCGCAGGATGTTGTGGAGCTTCACAAAACACTCCATTGCCTCACCGTACCTGTATACAGTGACATGGGAACTGTAACTTACTGAACAGTTAAACTAGACCGTCACAGTAATACAGTCACTTTCCATGTACGCATGAACACGGTGCCCAGTAGGGACACACACATGTACATGAAGATTTGCTGGCCTTACTACCCAGACTACCAAATTTACCTACCCCCAAAGCGACACCTCATGAACATATGTACCTCCCAGATTAGGACATGTACGTAACCCTGCTAATACCTTCTCATCTGTTTGTGTACCAGTCCAGTGTTGAACAGAGCCTCAGAGCAAGTGGCTTCCACGCTGAGAGCTTCCTGATAGAACTCTCTGGCCGCTTCATAATCCCCTCTAGAGTATAGGACATTTCCCTTGTTCACCAGAGCTGGGAGAGAGAGGGTGGAAGGTTGGGATGGTGTAGGTGGGAGGGAGGGAGGGAGAAAGAATCGCAAAGTGAAGAAAGATACAGTGTAGAGAGAGGACGGAGAGGTATAGAAATTAAAGAGGGAAAATAAGATAGGATTACCGTGAGGATTGTATCTGTCAAGAGCAACGGCAGAATCTGCAAATTTCTCAGCTTGCTGAAGATCCTTCTCCTGTGAATAATTATTAGTTGCTCATCTTCGTTGACACTTAACACTTGAGACTTCAGTTGAAGAGCAACTCATTGTCTGTATCCCTATCCCGGCGCTCTCTCACTCCCTCAATTAGCATTTTGCAGGCATGAGAGCAAACCAACTTAGTTTGAAGGTGAATTGCTATGTATCTCGCTATAATATTCTCCCTATGTCGCCTCAACTCCGCTCTCTTCTTACCACTCACTCCTCCACCGAAAGGGTTTAACGATCTTTCACTTTTTGCCGGCACACAAGAAACCAAAATGACAAACCAACAACACCTAATACTTTGACTATAGTTGGAGGGTGGAACGGACCATTAATTCGGTCTCTTCCAATCCCACCTAAATTTTACTCTAATAATGTTTCAACGATTTTGCATTTTTTGCAGGCACGCAAGAAACCAAAATGACAAACCAACAACACCTAATACTTTGACTATAGTTGGAGGGTGGAACGGACCACTAATTCGGTCTCTTCCAATCCCACCTAAATTTTACTCTAATAATGTTTCAACGATTTTGCATTTTTTTGCAGGCACGCAAGAAACCAAAATGACAAACCAACAACACCTAATACTTTGACTATAGTTGGAGGGTGGAACGGACCACTAATTCGGTCTCTTCCAATCCCACCTAAATTTTACTCTAATAAGGGTTCAACGATTTTGCATTTTTTGCAGGCACGCAAGAAACCAAAATGACAAACCAACAACACCTAATACTTCAACTATAGTTGGAGGGTGGAACGGACCATTAATTCGGTCTCTTCCAATCCCACCTAAATTTTACTCTAATAATGTTTCAACGATTTTGCATTTTTTGCAGGCACGCAAGAAACCAAAATGACAAACCAACAACACCTAATACTTTGACTATAGTTGGAGGGTGGAACGGACACTAATATTCGGTCTCTTCCATCCCACCTAATTTACTCTAATAATGTTCACGATTTTGCATTTTTTGCAGGCACGCAAGAAACAAAAATGACCAACCAACAACACACCTAATACTTCAACTATAGTGGAGGGTGGAATGGACCACTAATTCGGTCTCTTCCAATCCCACCTAAATTTTACTCTAATAAGGGTTCAACGATTTTGCATTTTTTGCAGGCACGCAAGAAACCAAAATGACAAACCAACAACACCTAATACTTCAACTATAGTTGGAGGGTGGAACGGACCATTAATTCGGTCTCTTCCAATCCCACCTAAATTTTACTCTAATAATGTTTCAACGATTTTGCATTTTTTGCAGGCACGCAAGAAACAAAAATGACAAACCAACAACACCTAATACTTCAACTATAGTTGGAGGGTGGAATGGACCACTATTCGGTCTCTTCCAATCCCACCTAAATTTTACTCTAATAAGGGTTCAACGATTTTGCATTTTTTGCAGGCACGCAAGAAACCAAAATGACAAACCAACACACCTAATACTTCAACTATAGTTGGAGGTGGAACGAACCATTAATTCGGTCCTCTTCCAATCCCACTTAAATTTTACTCTAATATGTTTCAACGATTTTGCATTTTTTTGCAGGCACGCAAGAAACCAAAATGACAACCAACAACACCTAATACTTTGACTATAGTTTTGGAGGGTGGAACGGACCACTATTCGTCTCTTCCAATCCCACCTAAAGTTTACTCTAATAGGGTTCAACGATTTTGCATTTTTGCGGCACGCAAGAAACCAAAATGACAAACCAACAACACCTAATACTTTGACTATAGTTGGAGGGTGGAACGGACCACTAATTCGGTCTCTTCCAATCCCACCTAAATTTTACTCAATTCCCCACCTAATAGGTTTCAACAATTTTGCAGGCACGTGAGCAAACCAAAATTAATGGCCAACTAATCACCCCTATTACTATGACTATAGTAGGAGGGTGGAATAGCACTATCTCAGTCTGCATGCGCGGCAGTGGAAGTCTGCGTGGCTTCTGCCCATATAGTTGGTCTCAGGAAATGTATGGAATCAGATGGCTCCAGACATGAGTACATTTCCTGCCTTTCACTCCTACTACAGGTTCTTCTTCTTTGTAACCTCCACTAAAGGAGAGTAGCCTATTGCACTCTGTCTACCGATGCAAAGGTCAATTCCTGTGTACCCATCATCAATATGGGTGGGTAGTATGCGTAGTGGTACATACATACATACCTCTTGTAAACTCAGACACCTCTCTATAAGGAACGCTTGCAATATACTTCAGTGCATAACGTATAAATGACAGCTCTGCAATATTTATGGTCCCAATGTGTCTTTCATACGGGGTTCAGGTACAGTATATACGTACGTATGAATGGTAAGTACACATGGCTGTAAACACACCAGGAGTAGGATGAACGAGAGGTTGGTAGCTGCAGTGGCGGCCATCTTACTGTCTTTTCTGTTACAATCCTTGAATGTCTCTATTGCCTGTGGAGAGAGAGGAGAAGAGAGGGGGAGGGGGACGGAGAAAGAAAGAGTTGTTAGCTTAACTCCCTAGTAACAAGGCAAACAAAAATGGAACCAAGCTGGTAGACACAGTCTCTAAGCAGCAATTTTTCCCAGGCCGAATTTCCAATGTTTATAGAATTGAGCTAGACTACTGATGGGTAAGCCCCCAGTAGTATGTACATTCATTACCTTGGGAATATTCATAAGTTTAAGGAAAGTGAGTGCCTTTGTGATCTCCAGTTCACTGGCCAGTTCCACGTACACTGATGACCTCACCATCTCTATACACCTGACACACCACAGAAAATTAGACATGTTTAAATGCTGGGTTCACAATATTATGTCGCATTGCCCCGGGGCGCCGTCATGCAAAAGATTATGTCCTAGCGATGTGGTGCGACAGGGCAATGCGACATATCGTTGTGAACCTATAGCCCAAGGAAGTCGTTGTACTAGAGCCCTATATAGACTATGCACCCAGAGCAACAGGCCCAAAAAGAATTTGACATCGCCCCACCCACGAGTCTATTGTTTTTCATTGGCTCCATCTATCAAAGTGCTAAAGTGTGCGTATTGTATGACAAGGATAGGTAGGTAGGTACAATAGTGATCCTAGGGCTCATTAAACAGGAGGAAACCACTCTCAATGTATGCACACAGTATTGTATGTGTGTGTACAAATGGACCGCCATGCACGGAGATTATGGCCGTAAACAGTAAATTATACGCTAATATAACAGAGAAATTGTCTATGACTCATGCATGACGACTGTTTACATAAGAACGTCAGTTACAGTAATGCGTCACGGTGTAAAATGTGAGATACTTACCTACATTCCTCATTGTCTATTATACATGGTACATGCATTGCTATAGCAGTACATACAGCTACAATATGGTACTATAGCAGTATATACAGCTATATACAATGTAGACACTGGCCACCAACAGCATGTGTGGGCTACTTATACGTATGAGGAAGTGGAGGAGGGATTGAAACTGGTTTACATGTGTAATGGGATTAACTAGAGGAAGTTGCTGAGAGCACAGTATATACAATGTCAAACTTATATAATATTACATATCATGAGAAACAGGAAATACGAGCCACATTGATATTATCAGATGCATTACTATTGACGAGTGACGGATGAACGTAGGATAAACCTAGATGTTAGCAGGATCCACAAAACCCCCTTTGTTCAGAGGTTCAGAACTTGGTAGACGTTTAAATTTACATCCAAAAACGCAAGATATGTATACTCTTCAATCAGACCACCCTATACACATTCAAACCTATGAAAATCGTATCTAAAATCTAAATCGTATCTAAAATTGCCACCTTACGAAGCTTTATTCCTCCACCCAGCAATTCAGTATTTATCTCACCAGGGTGCACCCTCTTCATTTGTTCATGCACATATAGTTTGTATCGGACACGTTGACCCCCAAATAGTAGGTGTGCTGCTACTTGGACCCTCTGTGAACGTGTTTCCAGGCCGAGGCTGATTGGTGTATACCCAGAAGTAAATCTCTGGAGCCAGCTCTGTCTCACCAGTCAAATCCCAGAGCAAACGAAGTCTCAATGACAGGGGCAATGAGTTTGGCAGCCGTCAGGATGGTCTTGTCTGCCGTGGCCTTGCGCTCTCTCTCCAGCTCTCGCAGTCTGTCGTTCTTGATGGTCTCAATCAACAGTCGTTGCTGAGGGTCATCCTCCTGCATAGGAATCAACACATCACCGTTTTACTTTTTTTTTTCCATGTACAACATTTTTTTATAAGAATGCAGTGCATACGTCCAGAATGTACTCTAGAGTGTTTTTACTTGATGTAAAATGCAATAAGCATACAAAGTACAGTCATGGTATGGGCGAGTTAGCATAATATGTATTACTCAAAGACGTATGATGAAGACTCTCAACTAACTCATTACATAATCTATAATTATCGTATGATGCATGTTGAGAGTCCTCATGAAAGAGATGGGTCGAAAAAAGGTAAAGCATTGTCACACGCAAGGCTGGTATATAGTGCCACATGTGTATGTACGTGTAGAAAGAGAGGGTGGTCTATAGGCTGCTGACCATGGTAGGGAAGTATCTGTCCTCATCTTCAGCTCCACTGGTGATCTGGAGCATCCTGCAGAAACACCTCTTTAGTTTCTCGCGGTCACTGATGGCATAGTAGCACAGAGTCAGGTTCATGACTGGAGAGAGAGAGGGGGAGAGGGGGAGGGAGCGAAAAGGATGGAGAGAAGGAAATTGAGACCTTAAGTAGTCAATATGTACGTAATGGCCCGGTTGTGCTAACTTGCCAAAATATACAATGTAGTAGTGAATTTTATAGCGAGACTCATTCAAAATTGAGGGGCAAGTATGCCTGTCCAACAGTATAAACAGTCCCCATACACTGGACAAAAGACACATACAAATCCTTGAAATTCGCAACGAAAGTTTTCTACAGGTCATTTTATACCAGTCTTGAAGTCAGGTTGCTCGCTCATGATGTGTTCGAATGACGTAATGGTGTCGGCATACTGGCCCATCTTGACAAACACAGACCCAATATTCTGCAGGATCTTCAGCCTCACTGACTTGTGGACCTCTCCGATCTGATCCAGGGCCATTCTGTACATCTTGATGGCCTGCGGGTACTTCTTCTGTGCCGTGTAAATGTTCCCCATGTTGACTCGCAGTCTACTGCCGTTGTTGAACATTTTGTTCTTCACTATCAGTAGATACGTATTGAGGGCCTCGGAGTATTGCTCATTGGCTTCGTACTGATTGGCAAGGTTGAACAGGACCTATATAGAAAAGAGCAAGAGAATGTGGCAAGGGAGGGGAAGAAAAACGTTTACTTTCTAATGTTTCTCGAAATTCACAAATATTTCCGCCATTGATTTTCCTGCTATAATAATATAGTGCTTGCCTACTTAGTAGAGTTAACAAATAGGAGCATATTGTGAGCTGAACTAACACAGTAGGTGAGGTCCAGGTTGAGTTGCTCAGCCAGGGAAGCTTGCTCTCTCTGCTTACACAGCATCCTCTCCCTCCTCCCTGCCTCTTTCGCCTTCTCCAATGCCTGCAGTACACGTTACCCACGGAGACATGCAGTTCAATATTACTATGCTTTGCATATTTAGAGCACATAACAGTACAGTACACAGTGCCTGTCACAGACATAGAAAATCACGAAATTCAGGCGACTATAGGTAAGCTCACTCTACATGCCATAAATTTACAGCCACGTATAATGTAATTAAATGTACCTACAAAGACATACGTATTGCCTTTATACGTAACAAGCTAACTAGCCAGACATGTTGAAATGCCTTAGGTTGGTAGTAGGTAATGCCACACAAGACAGAACTATGCACACATACCACACATTAGAGACATGTTAACAATTTGAGCAAACGCTCATCACGATTGCGAGAAAAACACTTTCACAATTTCTTGGTTAGTCAGTCTCTGGCTATTTAATGTGGGTCATGGAGACATTGAAACAATCGTGAAATTTTTCTCTACATTTTAACCACATAGCCAAAAATTCTCCCGCGAAAGTTTCCCGTCTTTTGTGTCATGAGGTGTGTGTGTGGTGTGCGGCTGACTGTCTGGTAGTCTCCCATGGCACTGGCATGAGCTGACTCTTCCACCAGCCGGTTCACCTTCTTCTCCATCCTCTTGATCAACATCTCTGGCCTACACACAGAGAGAGCAACATTTTGGTAAAAATACACTACGGGATTTATGAAATATTCAGCAAATCTCTCATTTACAGCAAACACTAGCTCTCATTACTAAATTTCCGGGTATCCATACTCTGGTAACATCAGCCAAGGCCTACTATATTACATAGAAAGATAACCCTCCACATGTGGCACAATAAAGTCTATAGCTACAGAGGATGGAAGACATCATGTATGAGATATTAATTCTCGATACAACAAACAGTGTACAGTAGGTGCTAGTATGAATTGGCACGCAGAGAGAAAATAACGGTGTATAATATGTGTCTATATCGTACGTTTCTTCAGTCTTCTCCAGAGATGAAGTGGCAGAGTGTCCACTGGCTGCAGCTTGGTTGAGAGGATCAAACTTGTGGCCTACGTACGATCAACACATTATACTTGAACAACGTACAATACAGTATATAGAGTGTATAGGACTGTATGGGTATGAGGTATAGTCTGTATGGAAGAGACATACACTCATCAACCCATCTGTGCCTCCCTAGTTTCCTTCTTCCCTGTCTGGGCCACGTGGGCCAAAGTATCCCAGGCTCCCCGCAGTGTGCATGCGCAAACATCACGTACAGAGTGGATGGACGGTTGCTTCGCTCGCCAAAAATGTGTTGCTGTAGTTTGTAAGCAGCCTCGTAGTTGAGTAGAGAGAAGCTGGACTCACCTCTCATGACGGATGAGAACCCAGCAGCTGTCACTCCAGTCATTGGCCTCGCCTGCCCCGCCTCCTGCACACACAGTGTACATACGTACATACGTACATATCACAACTAGTATGTCTATATGGTAGATCACACAACTAGCTATAGTATAGTCAAAACTCTGTCACCACGACAGGAGCGAATTTCCCCTACTTATGCGTACTTTTTGTGTCCGCTTTTTAAGTTTATGCCGGTAAAAAATGGTCAAAATAAGAGAATAGACAGCACAAATATTTATGGGATGAAGCTGTTGTAAGTCAGACCCAAGTACATAATATTCATGTGTTGCTTGTCAAGCTGGTAGAGATCCCTATAATATACTCACATCCACCACTCAAAAAAGAAAATCTACCACGTAACTTGGTATTTTAGTTTCCTCCCTCAAAAGTATGCTGTAACACCTGTGCCTATATAGCCAATGTTTCCAAATATGCTCCAACACGTCTCACCTTTCGTTTAGTTTATGGCCCAGGTATATACATGCAAACATATAATATGCACACCAAAAGGAAAGAAGGCGGTTCCGTATCACTCATGTATGCGTGTTTTTTTTCAAACTGGAGTTGATCCTGCCGTGTTTTAATTATACTAAGAGTGCTTTTCCACACACAACACAAGGAGTGCGACATTTCTCGTCATTCCCAGAAAATCAGCAAATGTTCAGGAAGCAGCAGTGCACACAAATTGTATATACAACAAGTCTATATTATATATCAGTAACAGAATGTAACACACAATAATATTGGAATTTTCTTACAGGAGCCATTCCAGTCCCCATCCTGGCCCGCATCTGCAAGACAGAGAACACAACAAATCACTCAACAGTCTCTATGAAGTACCATGTCGTGTACATCCCGGGTTAGAAGAGTGAAAACAAGACCACATAAAGGATGCGGAGGGTGTATATAGACACCCGTAGGAAGGTGAAGTGGGTGCTATTTGCGTTTACTGTCCTGAAGGTTTTCACTAATAGCAGGAGTTTCTGTAATTAGAGCCCACACTGTTGTAAGTGAAGGGGGAAGGAGAGCCTGGGAACAAGGCTGTAAAATATATGCTTTCTTGAGATGCAATCACGTCAGAGGGCACACAAAGTGAGATATCAAAGACAGACTCTTGTCGGGAGTAAAGTCTAGACCTTGTAAAAGTGTAGCTGGGAGTGGGTGTGCTACAAGCACAGAGCTAAGACAACGGCTGGTCCCCCATTCTCCCTGCTCAACCACCATGTAGCAAGGCAAGGAAAGAAACCTGAATCAGCATCCTTTATACCAATACTTAATACAATATGACAAGTGCTAAGGAATTGCTTCCTAGCTAAAACAGCCTTGAAAAACGATCGATCAGTCCTCTGCCAACTGGCTACTCAACCAGGTGGGGTCCAGAAAAAGCAGAGGCTAATTGAAAAACATTTGAAAGGATGCCATTCATATACACACACACACACACACACACACACACAGGACATTATTGTTGTACTGTGTGTGAGTAACGGTTGCACTGCGACCTCTTGACTGTGTGTGTTTCCTCACTGGGAATCGTCAAACCATTTCTCATTTCCTTCCGAACCATTTTTCATTTCCTTTCACAGCCATCACTTTCCTCTCCCTATACTCCCCTGCCCTTTGAAATAACTTCCTCTTTTTTCTGTTCTGCTGTGTACTCTTCCTTCTCATCCACCTTCGTCTTATCCTTATTCATCTTCTATCTCCATCTATCTCTCTTCTCACTTTCTAGCATTTCCCCTCCTTATCCTCTCCAATTACTTCCTTATTTCCTCCCCACGATAATGTTCCTCCCCTACTACTCTCTCACAGTAGTTCCAGTCATTTTTCTGGCCAGTCCTGTCGCAGGAGGCACTCCAGATCCACCAGGCTGTGCGATTTTTGCAGAGAGGGAGACAAATTGTTTTTTTTGAAAGGAATTATGTAAACGGGCTCACTGGTAGCGGTGGCCGCTGTCCATATCTGGTCCTCACAATCCTCTGGAATTCAGGATCTTCCTCCAACTCCTGGAGAGCACGCAGAAAACTGTCGCTTGCTGCGCGTTAATTGGAATCTGGGGCCTATATCCAGCTAGACGTAGGGGATTACGCCATTATCGCAGGCTCAGTACCTCAAGCATAGGATCGTTGTAGTCGTATCCAGAGTACAGGTCGTCATTCTCGCTCTCCGGGACCAGGTGAACGTTCTCCATCACCTTTCTCTGCAGCGCGCGCACGGCGACCGATCGACCGCGATCGATATGTATTTGCCTTGTTTCCATGACGACACGCAGCGCGCGGCCACTAATTAATAATTAAAGTGGGCGGAGTCTTATCAACTTTCCTTCTTCGCATTCTTGCTATATAGTCGGACCATGCAATGTCGTGAAATACTTTTGTGGCTGATGCCGTAGGACAACCTTGTTCGCATCTTGAGTAAGCCAATTCGCATGTGTAGGGCTACGACTAGTCTCATCGTAGCTGTCAATAGCCTCGGAATGCGCGCATGTGTGTGCGTATGCCGTATATGTTTTCGACAACCCAGCGTCGGCGTGTATGTTTCTATGTAGCGCACGCTGGAAGCAGGAACTATGACATCACGGCAGCAGAATCATAAGCGGCAGCAGCAAAAGCAGCAGCAGAGTAAGAGGAAGGAGACGCTCTGCCAGAGGATGGCCGGCTTTCTGAAGGCCTTGGGTCTCGAGAACAAACCCGAGTACGCAGAGAAGATCCCCGACACGCTCACGGATCAAGACTTCCAAGTCCACGATGTGAGTTTAGCGATACAGGAATGGGGGAGATCGAGAGAGAGAGAGAGAGAGTTATAAAAACCATTGCTGTGTAGAACATACTATAGTGATCTGCACGTCCGCCTGTACATAGTTGTAACGGTATGACATTTACACTTCTGCTGCACGCATGTTCTTGTGAGTGTCCCGCTTGCATGTAGCCCTATTTCTCAAGAGAAGGCATTCACTCTCTGATCTCTACAACTGAGAGGCTGTGGCTTTTAATTGGGTGCTTTGATAGCCAATTAATGCATTTATAGAGCATTTGCAGTTGCCTGTAGTAACTGTATGTGTGTGACAATCAAATCAGCCCCTGAAATATTAGATTCCTAACGAGCGACGCTGTGTTCATAGCAAAGTGCATTTGTAGCGTGTGTGTGTGAGAGTTGTATACTCTCTGAGCGTTGGTGCTAATAGCAGCAGTGCATGCAGAGGATTCCTCCTTCACTTCGTCTGTAAATGGGGCACCTGTGTATGTAGGAAGTGTCCTAATGTCAGGGGTCGAAATGTATGACTACGGATGGTGAGTAACGCATGCCCTACGTCCATTTCCATCCAGTATTGATTTGTACCAACCCCTTAGCAAGCCACGGGCATATATATGTAATATAGAGCCTCCATAAGTCCATGAGAATTTATATATGGCTATAATACTAGGCGTTAACATCAATTTCTGCTTATTTAAGGAGATTGGCGTCCAAAGGGTTTTAAAGCAGGGGGGCACTCTTTTGCATCCGGCTTCAGATCCAATGGGCTTTAGGGGGTGTATATAACCAGATGTTTTGTAGTTGCAATTAAATGAGTGGGTCTCTCTAACCCCCTTACTTATAGTGGTTAATATATCTGGCTCTGGTATCCACATACTCTGTGTATGTAATACACTAAGATATGTACCAGTTATTGCAAATTGCACCGGTCCTCCTCCATATACTGGCATGTTAGAGCCCTGAGCCAGACTCTGACCGTTTGTTGTTGAGATGTGTTTGTTACTCTCAGCGATGGGCGAGTGGTGCCAAGTTTTGGCAGTGATCTACAAACTGCCAATTTCACCATTACGTACGTTTCATCTTCCGGAATGTGGATAACAAAGTCTTCTCCATTGGGATGTAGTACTACATGGCTAAGTTGGGATCAATGGGATGTCTAGGGCAAGTGAAAACCGCAACGGGAGTTTTGGAGGCAGGGCAAATACGAACACACACACACACGCGGCAAAGCTCTCTTTCTTGGAGTGTGCAAGAAGCTATATCGACTATAGCATCGCCTGTAATCAAAGTATGAGAACTAATTACCAGATTACTTGGCTCTCTCTGTGTGTACCTCATCCAATGTTCCCCTCAGCCCCTCCAATAAACAACCTGGCAAAAGCACCATAATATCATACAGCATACATTTTCCCACTATATGCACACCCTTCTCGCTTGCATCTCAATAATAATTTATTATGAAGTTTAATGTAGATGGGTATGCTTTCTAAGTAACGTTTCTCTTACAACCTCTAACAATGCGATTGATGGCTATGTTAGTGATATGAGTGCGATAGCTAGTCTGTAAGTTACACACTTCAAAGAATTCTAGCGTTTATTGAAAGGAGTTTCGGTTACACACCTGCACACACATGTCTATATACCACACACTGTTGCATATGTAGGTGTACATATATACATAGAGAGAGCGCTCGCCTAGACTGCAGAGTGTCGTGGGTTCGAATCCCACCCAGGGCAACTCTTCTTCTAAGAGCTGTCCTGGGTGTAGTTGACTTGTTTGCCTTGCCTTGCCTTTCTACCTCGCTAGACATAGTGGGAGGTTTCAGTAATGAACTAAGGACATGGTCAACATTAGTTACTGCCCTAACTAACTACGTAAGTATGTATGCTCCGAGTACACTGTTAGGCTAGGTTCACATTGTGTTGCATTGCCCCGTTGCGCCGTGCCGCGTTGCCGCACCAGGATAGACTTCATTTCTATCTTCACGGCAGGACGCGACGCGGCACGGCGCGGCGGGGCAATGCGTCATATTGTGAACCTAGCTTTATACACGCCGCTGTACAACGTATGAATGTGTAAGCGGGCATGAAACGGGTGTGTTGGCCCTTTGCATTGCACGGTAAGGAGTATACGTGTACCTACCACTGTGCCAGTGTGTGGGTGTAACAAGTGGGTTTTTAGTAAGGCGTCCATAGCACCGCTACTGGGTATCAGCTTTCTTTTTGGGTTGGCAGAGTAGGCGAACTGCAGTGAAACCACCACTTGTACTATTAGACTTAGGTTGTCTTTGCTCTGGCAAAGTTGTTGAAGGAAACAGTGACATCTGTATAACTGAAGACGAACTGCCGAAGGACTCTGAGCTAGTTTGCTAGTTTCCAGAGATTCTGATGAGTGCTACTTATGATGGGGCATGTGTGAATACTGATTCTCTCTCTCTCCCTCTCTCTCCCTGATCCTCCATTCCAGACCTTCCACCATGGATTTCCCAGTCAGCCGAGCTGTTTGGCATACGACCCAGTTCAAAAAATTCTTGCCGTTGCTACAAAACATGGAACAGTTGTCTTATATCCTCTTAAAATATAGTGTTACTACTCATATGTACAATGTATATGTTGCAGTGAGGGCTCATGTTGTCCTGTCTGGGTACTGCAACAGATTTGTTGGATATATATCCCTAGGCAAATGAACACTGCTTGCACATGTAGGATTGTATAGGCTGATACAATCCCCCAGTACCTAGCTTCATACATGTCGGTTGCCTAGGGATATCCAACAAGTAATACGTGGTCCTTTGGGCAAGCAATACAGTTGTGTAGTAAAGTAGAGTGCAAGTTGTTGTCTTGACTCGACGAGGGCACGTTGGGGAAACCGGGACTGGAGGGATCGTTCACTCATCCCGAGACTTGCTGCGTGTCACAGATGGTGTTCATTGCCAACAAGGTGAATTTCTTTAGTAGCAAAAAGAGTGAGTCTACTGGTGGTTTTGATCTTTCTACGTATGACCTTGTGTGGTGCTTTCAAATATATTTCTGTATAACAAAAGGCTGAAAATTCGATGACGTGTTCACTTGACAATAATAGTGTGTTGCATTCGTCGTCTATCGCACGATGTGATGGTGGTATGTTTAAAAAAGTGTCATTCCCACAGAGCACGTTGGTCACCAGCTGTGACAACAGAACCCTCTACCAATGGTCCATCGCTGACAAACAGCCGACCATAAGACACCAGCTGCAGTTCACCAAGGAATGGTCAGTCAGTTTCCCACACTCTGCTGTGTATGTAGTAGTAGATCCACTCCACTAATTCCTCTCTTAACACTATCACGTTTCATTGGTTCAGTCGGTGTGTGGGCCTTCAGGGATTTCCTTACTCCCAGCCAAAATTCTTCTTGTTTTCAGACCTACAAATTTTTACAGGCGACAGTTTCAATGCATATGCACAGCATTATGGTTGACTAGTAGCCACTTTTGTATCTGTATGGATGGAAATCGTGTCTCATTGCAGCATCGAATCAATTTTAATGCTATTCATACACCAGATTTTTCGAAGCATGATCTTACCCATTGTTTTCCTAATTGCTCCCCCCCCTCTCCTCTCTCTCTCTCTCTCTCTCTCTCTGTCTCTCTCTCCCTCCCCTCCCCCAACTCCCCCAACTCCCCATATATCTCCCCAGCCCCACAGCAATGTCGTGGACGTATGGTTCAGAGTGGCTCTATGTAGGGAATGACGCCAGTAACGTTCATCTGGTCCACGTCGACAATTTCACTCTCTCCGGATATGTCATCCACTGGAATAATGTTGTGGATGGGTGAGTCTCTATGCTCTTATAGAGTGAGGAAGAAAAACTTTTTAGAGGCAACTGGGTTAATTTTATGATAAAGGGCACATTTTTACAGTGGTTTTATAAGCATGAGTTTGTGTGACTAGCGGTTTTCCACCCTCGAAAATTTTACATTAGTAAATTTTTACCGGAAAAAAACTTGCCCACAAAATTTACTTTTCCCGGCATCCAAATGCTACATACATACAGTATGCTCCTCTACTATGTAAGGTGCTTCGTACTGAACCCACAGAAAATTTTCAAAGGTGATTTTTCCCTCAAAATTTCCCCACTGTTAGTACAGTTTGCTAAGTATACGAATCTCGATAGAAGAGTAGTGATGCATGTATGAATGCAAAAACAACGTCCGTGTGCATTTGGCATGCTGTAGGTGGACGGTTACCCGTTGTTTGTAAACTTTGATCTGCCGACGCACGGAACCTTCAGCAGCTGTACCCTGTGTTACACATGTGCACTATACCACATATAGACCGCTTTGTAGCTATAATAGGGAACGTACGTAACTACATTATTGTAATTGGACATGCATTTCGGAACTCAAATCCACCCAACTTGCTGTTATGAAATTCGAAAGTACCCACCCACGTCCATTTTGCTTGTTTAATATGCATGTGCTCTAGATATTACCGCATAATGCATTATACTATAGCTATCTTGCTGTGTGTGATGTACGTTCATGCACATCAGTAAGCGAGCTGGGAGTCAATGTGTACATTATAGTCGGTATGTAGGGGCTGCCTTTTAGGTAATTGTCGGTTTGCCAGAAATCAGGAGCACTTTCTTCCCGCACGTTCGTTGACTGTTTTTCTTACACCGCGATACTACTCATAACCCCTTGCATGCATTCGTATATTTGTTGTTGAACTTTGCAGCCACAATAAGATGAGGCCCGGTGACGTAATGGCTGTTAGAGAACACCCTATGGACCAGGGAAAGGTTTGTAACAGATAGACCCTCAGTTTATTGACATATATATAAATACGCTTCTCTTACCTGGGCTTTAGGGCAGGGGGGTGCTCCCTCCCTTGGAGTTTAATAGTGCACACAAACGGAGGGGTTTTCCCCTCCTCTTTTTCGTTAATACACATTTTGCCCATTGGATCATTATCTTAATGAGCCTTTCGTCTTCGAGAAGAAGAAGAAAAGACAAGCTCCCTATCATAGCCCCATACATCTATGATGCTAGGTACATGTACCATGCCCATCCCTATGTACTACTTAGTGATAAAGGCCTGTGTGGTTACTCAATTGTGTTAAAAAAAGCACGACACCTCTAAACTTATGAATGCAGATACTGATAGCCTACTCCAGCAGTCTGCTGGTTCTCTGGAACTTCAAGAACAAGTGTTGTGACAAGAAATACTCCTACGATCCCGGAATCAACCACGTATGTGTGTGGGTCCGCCTATTTACATGTACTGTGGGACGTTTCAGTATGTGGTACAACCAAACAGCACCTCCCCCCCTCTCTCTCTCACTTTCTCTATGTGCTTTGACCAATAAACCGAGATTTACCCTTTGGACGCCATGGGTATCTCCTTAAATAAGCAGAAATTGATGTATTGACGCCTAGTATTATAGCCATATATAAATTCTTATGGACTTATGGAGGCTCTGGGCATAATATGATATGTCCATGGCTTGCTAAGTTAAGTAGAGAGCTAGGGGAGGTAAAACCATTCATACAGCATATAGTTATAATGCAGACATTTATGTGACGGACACTGCACCGTAATGTTCTATGTGATTCTACATACGCGCAAAAACACCCGCGAAATATCGAACTGCTCGCTCATGCTCATGCCCGCCAAAAGTGTGTTTGTCCACGCATCTCGTCCGTGTCTCCCCCAGGTTCTGACTAGCGTGTCGTGGGTGGGAGCGGCAAGTTCTTCACCTCTGCCTACAGCGATGGCAGCATCGCCCACTGGAGCCCCAAGGTGGACAATAAACCAGACAAAGTCTTCCAACTCCACGGTATATATACAAATGAACACGTACACATACTGTTTAATTATTTTAGTATACTGTTTTTCGTGGGTATGAATAATCGAGCAAATTCTGAAACGTGCTCCAGACTCCAGATAACGCCCACCAGCGCTAACCACAATTGATCCGAATGGAATTTTAACCGAATGTGATTTTGTGCGATAATCCACATCTCTCTCTCTCTCGTGTGTTAATCATGTAGAGTCCGAAGCAGAGGCGAGGGTCAGTAAGATCATCTACAAACTGCAGATTCAGATGACTGAGAGGTACAGTTTGATATTATGTAATTAGCTCGTGAGTGACAGTGACGTTTTTTTAAAACGAGGGGCGGCCATTTAATTTAGTGATTTCGTCTCAAACAAGGCGCGGAAATATTGTACAAAAGAACGTATTAATTTTGTGGTGCTAAAAATTTTTTTCGAGCACAGCAATGAAACTGCCAAAATTGAAATGTCCACAAAAATTTCCGGTTATGCAGTAGTCTTTTGGAGAAACAAGGGTACAATATTATAGTACCACCTCATGTGCACCAGCAGTATGTGGAGTGTGGCAAATAACGATTTGTTTAACTCTGGACTAAAACCCTAAGATGCAGCTTCCTTTTTATCCTATGTACCTACGTGTTACCAGGCATTCACCGAAGGTACAGGGTGCCACCAGTCTGGGTTGTAGTGTCTGTACCTACATTTTAGGAGTGGCTGGAGCTTTAAAGCTTCAGCAACCGAAATAAACACTTGTACTTTTGTGTATGTGCACTGAATACTCACAAGATGTAGTACACTTGAGCTTCATGCTACTATGAACGCTAATATTAGGAGAGAGAGAGTTTGTATGGTCATGTTATGTAGTATGGTCAGTATTATAATTATACATGCAGTGGTATCTCGTGTATGTACATGTGTAGGTGGGTGGTGTCCTAATGTGATTTACATATTTGAGACTATTGTTCCAAGAATTTTGGTATCATGACTGCTTGTGTGTTTACTGACCAACGCTCTTGTGTGTGTGTAGTTATATTCTCCCTCTCCTCTCCCTGCTCTCCTCCTCCTCCCCCTCTCCTTCCTCCTCCTCCTCTCTTCCCTCCTCCTCCTCTCTTCCCTCCTCCCCTCTCCCTCCTCCTCCTCCTCTCTCCTTTACTTCCATCTCTCTCTGACTTCTCATTCCTTTCTCCTTTCTCCCTCACTCTCCTACCGCCTTCACTTCCGCCCTTCTTTTCTCTCACTTCTCATTCCTTTCTCCTTTCTCCCTCACTCTCCTACCGCCTTCACTTCCGCCATTCCTCTCTCTCACCTCTCGTGTTCTCTTTTTCTCTTTCTCCTTTCTCCCTCACTCTCCTACCACCTTCACTTCCGCCATTCCTCTCTCTCACCTCTCGTGTTCTCTTTTCTCTTCTCCTTCCTCCCTCACTCTCCTACCACCTTCACTTCCGCCATTCCTCTCTCTCACCTCTCGTGTTCTCTTTTCTCTTTCTCCTTTCTCCCTCACTCTCCTACCACCTTCACTTCCGCCATTCCTCTCTCTCACCTCTCGTGTTCTCTTTTTCTCTTTCTCCTTTCTCCCTCACTCTCCTACCACCTTCACTTCCGCCATTCCTCTCTCTCACCTCTCGTGTTCTCTTTTTCTCTTTCTCCTTTCTCCCTCACCCCCTACCACCTTCACTTCCGCCATTCCTCTCTCTCACCTCTCGTGTTCTCTTTTTCTCTTTCTCCTTTCTCCCTCACTCTCCTACCACCTTCACTTCCGCCATTCCTCTCTCTCACCTCTCGTGTTCTCTTTTTCTCTTCTCCTTTCTCCCTCACTCTCCTACCACCTTCACTTCCGCCATTCCTCTCTCTCACCTCTCCTGTTCTCTTTTCCTTTCTCCTTTCTCCCTCACCCCCCTACCACCTTCACTTCCGCCATTCCTCTCTCTCACCTCTCGTGTTCTCTTTTCTCTTTCTCCTTTCTCCCTCACTCTCCTACCACCTTCACTTCCGCCATTCCTCTCTCTCACCTCTCGTGTTCTCTTTTCCTTTCTCCTTTCTCCCTCACTCTCCTGCCACCTTCACTTCCGCCATTCCTCTCTCTCACCTCTCGTGTTCTCTTTTCTCTTTCTCCTTTCTCCCTCACTCTCCTACCGCCTTCACTTCCGCCATTCCTCTCTCTCACCTCTCGTGTTCTCTTTTTCTTTCTCCTTTCTCCCTCACTCTCCTACCACCTTCACTTCCGCCATTCTTCTCTCTCACCTCTCGTGTTCTCTTTTTCTCTTTCTCCTTTCTCCCTCACTCTCCTACCACCTTCACTTCCGCCATTCCTCTCTCTCACCTCTCCTGTTCTCTTTCCTTTCTCCTTTCTCCCTCACTCTCCTACCACTTCACTTCCGCCATTCCTCTCTCTCACCTCTCGTGTTCTCTTTTCCTTTCTCCTTTCTCCCTCACTCTCCTACCACCTTCACTTCCGCCATTCCTCTCTCTCACCTCTCGTGTTCTCTTTTCCTTTCTCCTTTCTCCCTCACTCTCCTACCACCTTTTCCCTCTATAATATACCCTCCTATAGTATAGAATATTTCTTTATTCGCCCCCTCTACCTTCCCCTCAGTGACCCATGGATCATCTGCAGCGGCGGCTACCCGGAGGAATCCCACTCTTGCCCCAAGACCATCACAGTCCGTCACGGCAAATCAATCACCCTTCTTTCCACCAACTCGACCATCATTGACTTTATCAGTCTCCCGTCAACTCCATTTGCCATGGACCCCCAGAAACCCCTGGCCCTAGTCATTCTCACAAAAGACGATCTCGTGGTTCACGATCTTCAGACTGAAAAGTTAGCCCTCCTACGGTGTATATGTAGTACGTACACCACCGGCAAAGGGTAATATTTTTGCATGATAATTATGTATACGTAGCTGCATACGGTAAGCATACGTATACGTTGTAATTATGTATACGTAGCTGCATACGGTAAGCATATGTATATTGTAGGTATAATTATACCTCAGTATACAAGCGTAGACCAGCTTTTTTTAACCCTTTGGATGCCATGGGGATCTGCTTAAATCAGCAGAAATTGATGTATAGTGTATTAGTGCCTAGTATTATAGCCCCCATACAAATTCTTATTGACATATTATGGATGCTCTGGACACATTTATGTGTCTGTGGCTGGTTAAGTGTTAACACGCCTTTCGAATTCTTCATTCCCATTACCCCAATTCCATCCCAACGCATGCCTCCATTAGATCAATAATGATCTCAAAGCAGATTTATCCATTGTACATGCAGCAGATAGCCAGTGACATCTGCTAGGGGAGTTGTGGAGTGTTAGATTCTCGGTGGCTATGTTTTGGCTGGTGGTAGGTTGGGATTATCTCAGGAAGAAACAGAAGCCCATTGTCAGGAAGTTAGAAGCACCGGTGATTACATCGATCCTTGCCCTGTGTATTGTGTATACTCTACGACTGTTATCCGCAATACGACACCAATGCTATACAGTGTAAAGCAATGCGGATACGAATTAGAAACCCACTATGTTTACGGCCTTGCTGTGCTGCAGTATAGTCAACTGTGGTACGTACATGTGCAGGTCAAACATTCCCTTACCAATAGTTGTGGTGGGGTTTCTAGTTAACCCTCGGCGCGCATGCGCAGCGAGGGTTACTGTAGTTGGGTGTGTGTGTCTGTCTGTCTGTTACTCTTCATCTCACTTCTCGAGTGTTCGTTCGTCGCACAAAGGATACCACCTACCGAACGGGCAATGAAGGTCAGAAGTTTCGAACGGTTTTCCCTGAAAACGCTTCGTTGCAAAGCTAGAGCGCTTCCACCATTGTACGGCTAATGCGTAGTCGGCCATTTTTATCGCTGCGGAAAATGCGCATGCGCTTATAGATTGAACTGGCTTTAACCTCGACCGGGCTCGCTTGCTCTGTGTATCTTGAAGGCACAAGAAGCCACAGCGAAGGGCGTGTATCGACTCCCACATGCTATCTACTACTGTAGCTAGTCCGTAGCTAGTCCGTGTCCGACTCTCCGCGAGCTACTAGCGTGGATACCACGAGTATACGCATACTAAAAGCCCAGCCCATCAATTAGTGGTACCACGCGTGCGCAGTTCGCCGAGGGTTTGCACTTCAGTGCTTTTCATTTATGTCTGCATTGCTTTTTTCCCTCACTCCCCTCACATCCTTCACTCTTCCTTCAACCCTCTCCCCCATCCACAGTTTCCCCCTGTTCTCGCTGCCGCATGCGCTGGACATCCACATCCCACCAGTCTCGTGTCTGGAGTTCTACGGCAACTGTCCCGAGGAACTAGTAGCCTCACTGCATTCAGTCAAGTCAAAAATGCTGCACAATTTCAACTCATCCAGAGTACGTGAAACATAAAATATTTTTTATAAAAAGAACCCACACCCGCTTGAAGCGTATAAACGAGTGTTCGTGTGTGTCCCTATTAAAACTTTCGTTTCCTATTTCACTTGTTCATTTATCTTCACACAATTTCCTGATTTTTGTCAACATTTTTGATCTCTGCTTCAGTGAAGGTTATCCACATCATGCACATGTTGTAGCCAAAACTTAAGTACATTTTATATGTTTCTGCTCCTTCTCTTGCTCTTTCTTCACGCTCCCCTCTTTCCCGCTCTGCTCTGCCGTCTCTCTCTGTAGCTGTGGCCAGTAATGGGTGGCAAGTGGGGCCACGAGTCACCATATCTCCCAACTGATCTCGTCCTCACCGGGTTAGATTATACAGTACACAGAGCCATGGGGCAACTTTGGCGCGTCCAGCGTGACAGTGCCCACTGCTGTGGCAACGCTACAGCACTAGTGCCGCAAGCAAGCAAAGCATCGAGGTTCTTGGAATAGTATCGTTTTAGCATGATTGGACATTTTGGCAACAAATTTGTAGTTCAAGCAAAGCATCGAGGTTCTGGGAATAGTATCGTTTTAGCATGATTGGACATGTTGGCAACAAATTGTTGTTGTAGTTCAATGTTAGTCTATATGTATGTGGAGGGTGTGGTTATTGGCTCTATTACTGTGTCCCCTGCAGGCATACTGATGGCTCCGTGAGGCTCTGGTACTGCAGCTCTGGTAAGACAGTGCATTTTCTGTAGAATATAAGGCTTTCTATTTTATTGACGAGCTACCTGTAGTTGTCTGAATTCATGAATTTTCCATCATGATATCTGTAACGGTGGACGAGCACCGCACATACTGTAATGTTTACGTGATTCTAAATACGTGCGAAAACACATGAAATATTGCTTCACTGGCCAACATTGCGTTGCATTCGTTCTAGTAGTGTATCTAACCGCGTTCCACCTTACTCCCCTCCCACTCCAGTGATATTTCAACCATTCTTCACCCTCCCAACCACTCCCTTCTTCAAGTACAACTACACCCTCTCTCCTTCCACTCCAACTCGCCGTCCCCCGCAAAGAAATGCGGAAGATCTCCTCCCCCTCCCTCCTCCTCTTCCCAACCACCCTCGTCCCTCACTCCCCAGCACCACGCAGCGCCGTCACACGGAGACAGGATTCCCCCTCCTCGTCCTCCTCCTCCCTCGTCCATCTCGAAAGCGGCGTCCGCGTCACGGCTACATGCTGTCGACAGTAAAGACGGAGGAGGCGAATCGGGGGAGGAGCCCGGACAACTCCGTCATGTGAGGTCGTCTGAGCAGTTTGTGGTGCACCGTAAGGTGTCCGAGGGGAGCGACGGGGGGAGGGAGGGGGAGGGAGAGGGAGAGGAAGAGGAGGAGTCGGAAAGACTCAAAACTCCTTCACCGGCAACAGGTCAGCAGCCCTGCAGTCTCGCTGCCCTTTATGATAGTGCATTTTACTCTTATGTACAAAAGGAAAGCCATCCTTACTGTGTGTCTGTTATAAACTATACACTACACGAAACCAACTTAACTCAGCACGATTCTGTGCCAGTATTCATGCATACAGGTCAAAGTTATATGAATGTGGTTCTTTCCACCTCAATTCTCCCCCTCTATTCACAGGTCAGCTGCGAGTGGAAGGAGAAGAAGTAACGGACGGACAGAGTCCCAAGGCCGAACCCTCTGTCAGTCCCGGTCCTTCCAGAAAAACAATCTTCTCCCGCGAGAAAAAGAGCATCTTCAAACGGCCGTCGAAGAGCCGTTTTAGCT